TAAAAGGATAAAGCTCTCGGCGTTGACCAATCCGTGAGGGGATGCGCCATTCATTCGACGTCATTAAGCATCGTTAGAGGTGATTGAATGCACATCTGGCCTTTACAATGACTCACAGTGGCCTACCGATGTATCGAGCCAGTGCTGCTATCCTCCCAGACAACTCTGTTACCAATTTACTGACCCCGGAAGGATGAAAAGCTTGGCGGGTATAGGTGCTGGGATCGATTCGCTGTGTGTGCTGCAGGGCGTCTCGGACCACTGCGCCACACACGCCCAGTCGTAGAACATAAGGAAGCAAAGTGGTTAAACAGTGAAGTGTGTTTAAAAATAAACCCTAAAAACTACTGTACCTGTGTTCCGTGTGTTATTTTATCGCCTGAACCATCACAGTTTGAGGTAGGTCGTTGTGCGGCATCATCCACGAAAGTTTTCTAAATTTAACAATAATTTCGTCAATCGATAAAATGCTATATTCCATTGCTAAGAAAAAGGGTTGCCACAAAAAAGCACAATTCTTTTCAGGAATTTGGCATTTGTCTACCAAAAATTCAACTCGCCGTTTACATGGTGTTTTTATTGCTAACTTACTTTGATCTCTCCAATGGGTTACCACTTCATCGTAGCTGGGATGTGTTCCTGTGTGTCGGGCTGCGACGTACAGCGGGAGGATTCATCTCCCATCAGAGTCTACCAGGCGGAGAAGTCCGGCATTTCCATCAGAAAACCCAGCTAAAAGTAAACCAATGCCACGATCCACCACCGTCCTGGCATCATACTAGTCGCATGATGGCAACTGTCCCTCTGATCCACAAGAGCGGCCAGTGTCTGTGGTGGTGACGACCTGGGGCGGACTTTGGCTAGACTGACCTCAGAACTCTAGGGAACCACAATGTGTAAACCAGCAATCTCCCAGACAATGGAAATTATGCTTCCGCCCGCACAACCAGTGAGAATGGACCGCCCAAGTATCCAAGTAAGTAAGTAATTTAATACTGTTCGCTCTCACGAACACCTTTCCTCAATGAACATATTTTTTGCTAAATATCAACAATTAATGTTTAACCTATTGAACATGATGTGTGAGCAAATTATTCACCTTTTCAGAAATACTGCGTCCTTCGTTTGACAGCGGATCTCCTCCGTTTACAGATGAATCCTCATGTAACTTAGTCTCCTCACCTTCATCATTTGCGTCGGCCAGTGGAATTTCATCACTACCAAATTCATTTTCCAGTGCCTGAATAATACCACCTTCTCAAATTTGACTGCAAGAGCATCAATGGCTTAGGAGGTAGATAACAGCATGGATGTCAGATCCAAGAAGTTCTACGACAAAACGTCACCGGTTGCTTTTTTCTCCGAGAAGCTCTCTTCCCACTTTCATCGTCATCATTCGTACTTAACTGGAAGCATTCTCACTTACTACAAATAATATTAATGCAGATGTTAAGAACCTCTACAATAGGACGATCAAAACTACAAAGGCTATAATCTACAACAAATACTGTTTAGTAAGATGATGCCAATAGACCAGAAATCCTTTAGAAACAGGTAGTCAACAAAGGGAAGCGGTTGGTGTACAAAAAGTAAAACGTTATCCACAGTACTACACTCATTCTAGTGCTCACGGAATCTTTTCTTCTATCCATCGACCAAGAGACTACGATCCGACCAAAACGGACAAAGTGCCCCAGAATCTCGCTTTGTTCATTCTTTCGAAACCAATTAACAAACTCACTTCTGCACTTGATTCGCTCTCAACCCTCTTCCTCTTCTCAGCCTTGCGACGTCTAGAAAAAGACTTTCGTGCTTTCCTAGTTTTATCCTTCTCAAATATACAGACCTTCCTTTAGGAATCGCACGTCGTCCCTTTTGTTTTGCTTTCGACGCAATGACAGCAAGTGGTTCATCATCATCACTTGAAAACATCTAAGAGGAAATAGACCAGCACAAATTTCTGAGTGAGTGTTGACTGGAAATAAGTTCTAACGATATCTTTACTGAACTGTCAGTGATATTAAGCCAACTTGGTAGTCTATGAATAAGAATTTCATTAACACCAAACTGCATACAATTGCGAACAAAATCATGACTTATAAAACTTTATATCTTAACGATCATGTCAAGAACACCTCTATCGGCCACCAATAATCTTTTCTGGATATCGAATAAGTAAACTGATTGTCAACTGTTCCTAGGAGATAGAGTAACTCGTAGAGACGAGGAATACTGAATAATTATCGCCTAAGTACTAATTACACCTTTATACCGATTACGCCATCATGAAAGTTTACTACCACGAAAAGATTTATTCGTCATAAGGCATGGAGCTTGTTATCTTCAAGGGACCATGGAAACAAGATCACGATTTGGTCAGATATTTTCCTAACACTGCTCATATGACATCAGTCTAGTACTAGCCAAAGTTATTCAGACTTGGTAAGAACTGTTCTGGCGAATGAAGCAGTAAGTATGTAGTAGTCAGGATGAGCCAAAGTCAAAAATCCACGATATATACAAATATTTATAATAAAGATGACAACTGGTTCATAGAAATGCAATGACCGTATGGTCCATACACACTGGAAAGCGAAGAATGGTGCAAAGCACATGATATAACCGAATTGCCGAAACATCCACTACACACATTTTTCTTTATTTCAACACATTAAGTTTCGAACTGTAAATACAATAATAGAAGTTATGAAGATAAATCGCTGATTTAAAAAATGAAGCTATGAAGCTGACCTTCACATATCGGCCAATTAGCTTAGAAACTCACTTATCTATGTAACGGATTTCTGGCGTAACCGGACCATGTACGAGTGTACACAGTTGTACCCTACGAATTTCTGGAAGTAGGAGTGCTTTTGCGATCACCTTTCGAATAGGTGGTTCCGGAAGATCCTTTTCCTTCCCGCCCTTTCCACTCTGTACTTGCTGGATGCTCGTATTCTTGTGCCCATCGGCTTCATCACATAACACTTCGCCGACGCCACAGGAGATAATGTGAACTGGAGTCCGATTCACAACTGCAGGTGGGTCGGTTGTAAATGTGTGCGTTAAATGTGAAACGGTCGTGTGTAAGTCATTCTGAACAAACACGTTAAAAATAAAATTTTTACTCGCATATGAATACTTGGACTCATGAATAGAACAACAGCACAGCAGATGCTGCGTACTGGTATCCTTATCTGGTATTCGCACTATGCTATTCATAGGTAAAAGTGCCCGAGCGACGTTTTAGAGTTAGTTGGACAACTGTGTACAATAGAAATGAATAACATTTCACATATACCAAATGAGCCATCTAAGAAACATGGCAATAGCTTAAACAAGTACTGACAACATCTACACATGCACTTACCAAAGAACTGCACAGCTCGAATGACCAACCTCGACGCAAATAGCCGCCCTGTCTTCTGCGAACTGTGCGTCAAATATCTTTGTCCCAAAATGCTCTCGAAGACGTTGTCTTTCGATCATTGAAAACTGAAAGCAAAATTAAACGGTATTCGTCATCAATGATAATTCGAATTCTCAAAAAAGAACCTCGGAAGTTCACGGCCGTATTTAATCACGTTTCATAAAAAATAAATGATGAACCCTTAACGTTATCCAGAAACCTACTTAGGCATGGAGTAGGCGTCATCTCTTGAAAGTGTTACAATTAAATGATGAAAACAAAACACTAGTGAAAGAAAACTGGAAATTAAAGGATTCACATACATGTGAACGTGTGCACATTTAATTGCATGAGTATCTTAGACAACTTTTTCATTGTGATGGAAATGCTAGTCCATATTCTAGTGTCTAACAGGCAAATGGAAGAACTGCCACGCCAATAATGAGTTTTACTGTTACGAAGCCTGGGTTCAGTAAGATTGGGTGAGTGGCCTCTTTTAGAGGACACAGGAGTCTGAACCTCCCTTGCACTGCACTGACTTCTACTGTTTTTTCCTCAAACCCCTAGATAAGAGTTGTTACATATTGAATCGGTGATCCAGCCAGGATTATCTATTCTCCTTCACATTATTATCTAAAATTCCTTATATAATCATATTAGTCCAAGGCTCTACTTTTTATCTGCTTCGTTGAAAACCACTGCATCCGATCTGTAATACTTTGAAGGCGGCAATGTCGCACATTGCGCGTTAGCTATGAAGTTCAGTCCTACTACTTTTTTGTGAAAAAGGATATTGCGCGAAGTACTCTGCGCTGGCTGGGTAGCCGTCCTATCTGCAGATACTATATGTGTATTGCAAATACAGCCTATAGGTAGTGATCAGCTCATAGAAGCCTATTGTCCGATCTAAGAGCTATATAAGTTGCAAGTTTCTGGCTTCAGATATATGATTCTGTGGGAAGGATTGTTGGTGGAGCTGCATCAGTGGGAATGTTTGAATCTGGTACAGGTCCCGTCGATCGATAGAGATTTGAATAGGATCTCTCTGTGTGTAGAATATTCCATGCACCTTCATCTGAATCACCTGTCGTTCCGATGATCGTCGAGCAACTCGCGCGCGCGCCGGTAAACCTTCCATCTTTCCCTGTCGCATGCAAGAGTAGTCTAGTGGCTTCTGTTCGCTCTAGAGCTGGTTGAGCTCCATACCCTTGTTCTACGCTTTTCGTGCAGAACTCCATCGGGTCGGTGGCCTTCTTGCAGTAACTTTGACATCCCGAGGAATCCCTCAGCAACGGCTCGTCTCCACTGGTTGTCGTTCATACGTATTGAGCGTCGAGTCCACCTTATTTTCGACAGTTTGGAGTATAGAACGAAGTCTTTGAATTCTGATCGGTAACGCAGGTCGGAGCTTCGGATCTCTTCACTTACTTGTGTGACATGGTATATTCCTATCAATGTCCTTCCGACTACGCGTTGAATAACGCTAAGTGATCGTTTATCCTGCTCACGACCTCGTTTCTGACACATATGTTAAACCGGGAAGTACTGTTGAGTCCAAAAGGTGGGCACGGAGCCTGGTCTTCTTTGTTCTTTACACTACATCGTCGATGATCTTAAAAGCTCCCCAAGATGCTCGTTTCCTCCTGCTCAACTCTGGAGCAAAGTCGTACGTCATGTTGATCTCCCGATCTAGATAGACGTAACTGGAGCATTCGGAGATATTCATTCTGTCGAACGTGAGTGGGATATACGTAACGAATCCGCTCTTCATGAACATCGTTTTGGTGAGATCTAGTTGAAGATCAACTTTTCCACAGGCTTTATCAAAGTCGGCAAGCATTCGTTTCGTTTGGCTGTTTGCTGTTATAAGAACGATGTCGTCAACAAAGTGAAGATGGTGTAATTGCCGACCACTGATTTCCATTCCCATGCTGTTCCATCCCAATGTTCGCATAACGTTCTCGAGTGTGGTGGTAAATAATTTTTGCGAGACGTCCAAGGATCTCCTTCACAAGAGGGACCTCGAGCCAATTGGTCGCAAGGCTACGTGGAGCATCCCCAGGTGGCAAAGAGGTGTTAATAGCGGACCAAAAGCGACCATGGTTTTCCTGAACCGCAGATTGATCCAGAGTATGGACTCCCTGTTCCTGCTATGCCGATTTTTGACATTCCTCCTCTGCTTACGAGAGTGTATTCATGCGAGCATGCGTGGGTGTGTTGTCGTTTGTATGGATTGTATTCTACGAGTCAACTCGGCCAGAAGTCTGCATCAAATGACAGATAATTATATGCCAGGTGGTTAGGAGTCGCCTCGAACAAATAAGCTTCATGTGTACTCTGGTAGAGACTGACTAGCTACTCTTGAGTATACCCAGCTCCACGTTAACAGCTCAGCAAGCTATATGTGGGTACCATAAAAATATACACAGTAAAATGAACGAGCCTTATTCCCCTGATCCGAAGAAAACCACCGATTCGGCTACGGTAGGTGGGACGAGTATGGAATGGTCTCACAGTCATTCTAAGCTGCCTAAATCCCAAAGGGCTACGTTAACGACTTGTAGCTACAATGCACGCACACTTGCATCAGAGTCCTCGATAGAACACTTGATCATGACATCCGAAACGAACCGTTCTTCGGAACATGCCACAATAGAGAAGTCGACGGCGTCGACAATCTCGTCAACACGATTTTGCCTATAAACATCGATCCATTTGAACAACTAACAACCCTACTCGGACGCTTAGATTAAAGAGATTTGGAACAACACCGGCTTTGACAATCCTTGTAGGCATGCAACCGCCTATTCACCTCGAATTTGCTAAACAATGCAGACAAGCGATAAAAGATCTTAAAGAGAGATGAGCAGCACCTATGTTCGAAGCTGTGGAAGCTGGTAGAAGCATTTGCAAAACCCAATGAAGCGTCGACAATTAAAAACAAGAATGAATGAACTCCGACGCTTAGACGGGACAACTACAGTTTTTAGTGAGATAAAGGAGCAAATCATTCAACTACGACGCTCAGACGGAACAGTTACAGCTTGTAGAAAGGCCATGGAGAAAATCATTCATGATTACTACTCACATCTCTCCAGTAGCCACGTTCTCCAGCCATCATAGGAAATAGAGGAGGATGGATATACCGTACCACCGGTTCTCGCTTCCGAAATCCGACGTGATATTTCATTGGTTAACAATCGAACGACACCAAGTCCGAACAGGATATAATCTGAACACTTGAAGTTCCTTCTGCCAGTCCTCGTAAACACACTCGCTCGGCACTTCATATGTCACCCGTCTGAATGCAACGTCTCTACTCAGTAGAAGACTAGCAAGACTGTGCTGTTGTTCAAAAAGAATGATCTCCACGATATCATTAAGTATCGCACAACCTGCTTGCTCTCTTTCGTCTAAGATTTTCACTCGAATTGTCCTAAACAGGATTGACAAAACACTGGACGAAGGACAGCCATAGGAGAAAGCAGGGTTTTGAAAAAGATTCAGTACGATGGGCCATATCCAGGCAATAACAAGACCGACTGAAGTGTTGAGAGAGTAGAGCAGACCGCTCTGTCTCAAATTAATCGATTGAAACAAAGTTTTGACTCAGTTTAAATAGAAGCAATCCTGGAAGCCTTAGACAACCAAGTCCACACTCAGTATATAAAGATTCTTCGCGATCTATATGAAAAGTTTACAATCAAAATTCCACGATTCTATAACGTATTAACATCGACATCAAAAGAGGTGTTAGGCAAGGCGAAAACCATTTCGCCAAAAATTTACTGCATCTTATGGTAGGAAATTGTAATATGCCGTGGCCATCCAATAGAAAAGAAAACGGAATGTAGTAGTCGCGCAGATCGTGATTTATTTATGCTCTTTATTTCTTGTTGAGCATCTATAGTTTTCGTTTCTCGATCTTGGTGAAGATATCACATTTCCTTGAACAAAAGATTTTGACGACCATCCATTCAATGTGTGTTGCAATAGGATCTTGTTGCAAATATCTCCTCTTTTCCAGAAGCTTTTTCGTTCTCGTTGTCAAGAATTTAGAGCCTGTCTCTGGATAAAAAGATCTAACTCGGCACGTGTTCGGAAACCTTTCAGCGATGTAGTGAATTCCTCCTATGAATCCTTCAAGGAATTGTTTCACCATAAATGAAAGAGATAGGAATGGTACAGCGACTGGTAGCAAGCTTTGCCATTGCCTTAATCTCTAAAGTGGAAACACCAGTAAAGGAACTCTGGCCATTACTGCGCTGTAGATAAATAGATGGATGATGATTACTTTGTCATTTTCTCAATATAAGAGGAAGCGGACAAATCTTTTGAGTTATTCAACGAACTGTCAGAGCACATAAAATCCGCCTGAGAGAAACCGAAAGAAAACTGGCCTTCATTTCTGGACATTTAAATTAGTCTATCCGAAAACGACTACATCACCAAGCGGTATCGAAAGCCAGGTAACAAAAATATACTGGTCCATTACCTCTCCTCTCATCGTTCACAAGCAAAGAAAGGCGCTTGTGAGAAACATGTTTTAAACAGCCATCACTGTGTGCACAAGAAGGGCAGAAGAATCCATGAAGTTGAAGCGGAAAACCAAGATCCACAAACAATAACATTAACGTTGATAAGGTCCCATTTATCCTGCTCTTCATATCTAACGACATAAGTGCAGGCATAAAACGTCGCTTAAAATGGATTGATGTAGAGAATTCGGTAGCAATGATTGAAATACCCCCGGGAACTCCTAGATATCAATTAGTTCGCAACCGCCGGTAAGACCGTCTATTTTCAACGCAAAATTGGATAGTGTGGTCTAACGGCAGAAACAGTGATTGCATGGGTTCGGGTATGGTGTACCTAATTTTTTGTAACACTTTGGGGTAGAATACGTTGGCATTACGGATAGACTACTCTGCATCCGTATAAAAAACACACATATGGTAAGCGTGAAGCTAAATAGAATACTCCACTAGTCGCGCATGCGATACAAAGAGATAACGGAGAAGCTTTTGAAGTAGAAGCTACCACCTTCGCACAGAAATCGAAAACTTCAGCGCGTAAAAGTCTCGAACTCTCCAAGCATTTTAGATAAATTTCAAGAATCCAAAAATAAACCGCAGGGAGAACTGCCTCATTATTATGCGTATTTAAATGCAATATTTAAAACTGATATTTTAATGTGAGAAAGGCAGACTACCCATACACATGAAGCTCGGTTGGGTAGGCCTCCACGTGGAAAACTCAGTGGAAGACTCATAGAAAGCAGTGAGTGTACGAAGAAGCTATTTTGTTTCCCATGCAAACGAAATCTAGGTACCGTGATTTTTCTGCTGGGGTTATGTAGGTATTTGGCTGACTAGATTGCAGCCAATTTGATCATTCTAGGCTCCGAAGAAGTCGAAATCCGCGGAAACGTCAGCTTTTGTGAAGAGTAGAATAACAACCTCGTGTTTGTTCATCAAAAAAACAGTGATCAAAAACGAAGATAATAGAAACTCGATCTTGGGAATCAGTGATTGAGATGTTCAAAATTTCATGCAGTCTAAATAAATGAGCATGCATCTTGCTGTCAAAAGTGCGTAGATGAGAGCACACCGTATTTAAATCAACGAAGGTTCGGCAGAGTAGTTTGAAGACTTTGAACACCACCACCACCACCATACTATCAGCCCGATACTGAGAAGCAGATTATGCAGCTCAGTCATTCAAACGACATCTCGCTACATGACATGTGAGAAAAGGCGTACGCGGAGAAATCTATAACATTTAGCGGGGTAATTAATATTAGAAATGAGGACGTACTCACAGTTGGTTACTAAGCGATCATTTGCTAACTGAATACCAGTCACATGCACTTTTGCTTTAAATTTACAGTAGCACAGATTCGGATGCCAATTTAGGTATACACCACAGAATGAGTCAGCCATAGAGCTTTCTACGATTTTTCGTTTCCTACACACACGTGGAATCGATCCCCGTTCCCAAGGCCCACCAAACCTTCCATCCATCCGGGATCGCCAAATTTGCAACAAACTTGTCTGGGGGGATAGCAGCACTGGCTCGATACATCGGTAGGCCACCGTAAGTCATTGTAAAGGCCCGATGTGCATTCAGTCACCTCCTTAATGAAGTCGAATGCGTGGCGCATCCCTCAGGGATTGATCGACGCCGAGGACTTTATCCCCTATCCTTTATTTACTACACCTTTGTTCTCATCCTAGTATCTTCCTCGTTGAAAAAAAACTTACCCTTTCAGCAAACGCACATAACTGCATTCGGAAACCAAAGTTAGGATTAACAACAGGTCGTTTCTTCGAAATGAATTTAAGAGCGTTGGAAAATGACAAATCACAAACAGTAATCAAATACGCAGCTACAACGGTTGCACTCCTAGAAACACCAGCGAGGCAGTGCACCAGGACGGCAGCTGAAAAAAAAACATGACTGATTTTGATTCTTATTTTGCTCAACTGTCAAGATGTATGATGGTTAACCCCTCTAATATACATTTTTGTCCATTGAAGAGAACGGAAGCTTTTCGGTTCGCTTTTCGAGACTGATCTGTTCACGAACGTCAAAGCACAAAGAAAAGAAATCAAAGTTAAGCGAGGTAGAGGAAAAACCCAGCCATAGATAAAACAAACCAAAAAAACCAATGGCAAACACTAATGCTTCAACCCACTTTGTTTTAACCTTGCGCTATGAATGAACTCATTCGTAGTTGAGAAATGAGCAGAAATATCTACCGATGAACAGTCAGACAACTGGATTCGCAGTACCTTGAAAGAACATAGATATATGAATATCTACTTTCAAAGTTTTAAAAAGTGGTAAGGACCTTCAAATGCTCGTGAGCAGGATGTTGGGCAAGCAGATCATGGACAGAGACAATGGACTGAAAGGAAAGTGTTCATTCCAGTGGAAAACTTTTCTTTGACGGAACATGGACAGAATGATGGGTTAATATGTGGTGACAGATTTACATACCTTACTATTAAAAAAGTGGGAACATTTTCAGTATGATATTCCCTAAATTAAAGAATTGTGAAAAACTCACCTGTTAACTTTTTTTACATTACCCGTCGTTATACTACCGTGGGAATCCCAGCACCTCCACCATTCGCTGTGTTTTTTCGCATCCAACATGCACAATGATTTTCGAACATTTTGCGTATTGTTTCAGCTGCTGCTTGAGAGTTTTGTATTTTTTATGAATGTAGTAGAGTGCTGATCGAGGAGATTCTCCTTGCACTCTCGGAGATAGTGGTGACAAGGTGCTCCCACGTGGATCAGAGGAAAGCGTTGGTGCGGGGTGGAACTATCACCATAGCTTTCTGATCGACGGGATCATTAACCACTGCGCTATCCTACCTCCCTACATCGACATCTACACCAAGGAATGCTGAACAGTACGAAAAGTCAAGATACTATGATGATAGTCATCATACCTGTATTCGATTCTTCTTCAGTTGCACTATGTCAACAGCGTCACGAAGGCTGCCGAGATATAAATTGGGAATGATTTCGTCCATTTCCGTCCCTAATAGACATGGAAAATAGCTTAACATTGGTGTACCGACCTATATATTCTCACCTAATCTATTTCTGAAACGCGAGAGCGAAGACAGAATATTCGCCCTCGTCGAAGTACTAGGAACTGAGGCCGAATCCACATCGTCGCATAACGACGTCGAATCAATCAACAGCGATGAATCGCTGGTAATCATTCCAATTCTTCGGTTTCCACTAAATACCATCCACTGACAACGTTTCGTCCTACTCTGTGCTGTTTATAAAATACAGGTTATGACAGATATAAATACACACTGAAAAAGTGTAAAACGCATGAAACAGTGATGGATATGAGTAGTGCAAAGTAGAGCACTTATTTTGAGCAATTGGAATGACCGTTTCCATGGAACGATAGGACGTAGCCGCGATATTTGAAAAAATCGCCAGTGAAGTGATGACAAACAATGCAAGAAGAAAAACGAGAAATTGAATACCAGAAGCAAAAAACAATTACCGAATGGTTAAACCAGTCAGAGATCTAACGCTTCCACAAGACTTTGTCCAATTTCATCCAATTGAATTCACCAAATTAAAGGCAAAATAGTTAACAAACACTTTTAACACAACGAAAACAATAACAACAACAATGGAAACTTATTTCCGTCACGCTCCAGAGACGTATTGAACAAACAAAGCTGACAGGCAACCATGACGTTTCCAAAAAAAAAAAAACGAAACGAGGGAAAACAACAAAGAGTGTCAGCATGCTGCGCCATCCTATTCATTATCCACACGTTATCTTAAACGTTTACATAGCTTGACCATGCAGCAAGAAATCCATTTAAAAGACTGGTTTAACACTAGTCCGCTTTTCGTTGCGACATACACAGTCTAATCACTAGTCGTGCACCGCGGACCAGCGCTTAAAATGACAAACTTGATGAAAAATTCACTTCAAATGAAGATATGACAACAAAAATGGCAAAATATAATGAAGATATTGTCAATATAATCCTGGATTTACTCTTCAATTTCCTCAGAATCGCCAAGATTCAACTCAAGGAACTTCTCAGCTTTCTCTTGTAACTGGAAAGATTTAATCATAATCAAATACTAATGAGATGCAATTGTATGAGAAAGAATTGAACGTACCAGCAACCGCGATTTGTCGTCTCCAAACCGTTCCTCGGCCTCCATCCATTTACGGAAAAGCGGGCGGAGTTTATGCATGCTCAGTCGTAGAGAACACGCACGCTCCAGTATCTGTCTAAAGAAAATTGTCCTCATAAATTCTCTCGGTGGTTTCCTTATAAACAGTGGTAATAATTAGAAGATAAGACAAAGTCTACAATGGGAACACACATCGAATAAACTAAGAAAAACGACCAAAATTCCATCGAGCAAAGAGATAATTCGACTACCTGGTCATTTCAATTCCCGAATGCTTGAGGGAAAGGTCGGCATAAACTAACCATAAATCAGTCTTCTTCGGATAAGCACTAACCTAAAATATATGGGTAGAGATCGATAGAGCAGATTTTTACATGTGCATACCAAGTTTTCAAACAATGTGCGTCCCCGTTCAATGTCTCCTTTGCGGAACTCCATTTGAGCAAATCGGCTGATTATAGGGACATCTAGAAATCCACTCACTATAATTGGTAAACTAAATTCATTCTTTTAAACCAGCAAAGAACCAACGTCGTTGTTTTGGAACACTTGTAAGTGCTCTCTTCATTAGATCACGTGCTTTGTCAGCACGATCGGTTTTCATTAAGTGTTCACCGTATAGCGTCCATACGTCATCGGCGTTTGCTCGGAACTTCTTTAACATCACTTCGTAGACCTCATCCGCTTCCTGGAAACCTTTCGATTGTAGACGCTATAACAGAAACTTGGTTCATAACAATTTTCCGACCAATGAAAACGCGTCGACGTTTTAGTACAAAATGAGTTTTTTTTTCTCATACCTCTGATTATTATTACCACTACCATTTTTATGTTTGCGCCGTGTAACAACTCGCTACACTAACGCAAACGTAACTACATGAGTTATACACGATTTTTTTTCTTTTTGGAGGTTTATTTTTCTGCGTAACAGTTTTTCTTCTTCCACAACTCAATTAATAATCAACCGATAATTTCTTCTAAATAGATTTTGTACTGGATGCAGCTCCGGAAAAACGTTTGGCTATATTTTGTGGTCTACAAAACGCTTTTCTGGAACAGTACGTTCGTCTTGCGAAACAGATTGCTGGAATGGGTTACTTGGATAACGCTACAGTAAAAATACAAGTACACTACTCCCAAAGCAACAGACTTCACTTTTTCTCTGATTTAAAAACTTTTTCCGTGAGAAAAGAGGAGACTGCAGATCTTATGCGTCAAATGGCTCGTATTGAAAAATAAGGCTTCGGCTCAAGCGAGCTTCAACGAAAATTAGGCGTAGTCGCGAAAAAAATTTAAATAAATGCGCCAGCTGCACACCGCCCACAAGTCATCGGAATTTCCCTGGCACTTATTTAGCACCATTTCATTGACCTCATTCCGCATAGAAAATAACCAGCTAATTAATAAACAAACGGCTGACACTGAATTTTCCAGCTTCAGAAAAGATGGCTGCCATCTGAATATGCATTTTCAAAGCGTCCGCGTTACCACATGACCGCTGAAATATTTCTTTGGTTGAGTTTTCATCGCCGTATGCCACTTCCATGTTTAAGTAAGCCGTCCAGATATTGAAAATTTCGGTCTCTTCTCTGCAAAACATAACACTGATTGTAAAAACAACGTAGCCATTTACGAAATATAAATTTACCTATAATTAATAACAGTAAGAGCTCGCTCTGCTGTAGCACGTGCCATGCTTAGATCGTTCTTTTCCAGGAAAAACGAAATGTACCTGGAAGAAAAAGAAAAGAATGACACTGAAAAATGTAAGATATGGGATGTGCATTTTAACAATGCTTGAAAAATAAAGAAAACAGAATGGAAAAACCTTATCCAAATTTCAGCAGAATTGGGATCCTTCCGAAGAAGGCGAGCAAAATCCTCTTGGGTTTCGGAATTCAAATCACCAGAAAGTTCTGTTTCGCGACTCACCAGTGCTCGTTCTTTTTCCATATCCTTCTCCTCTTTTGCTGTAATCAAACTCAATTAGACACCAGATTAAAAATGACAGAAAAACTGCTTAGAAACTTACTTAACGACTTTAAGACCTTCATCCGTTCTTCGAGTTCCGCTTTTATCGGCACATTATCTGTTGATGAATGTGCTGCTGATCGGTCAGAAGAAGATTCATTAGCAACATCACTGCCAATTTTGCCAACTGCCGCCAAATCTTCTGGTCGAAAACCAACATTCGACCAGTCAAATCCAGGGTCGCTTAGCTGGAGAAACAAGCACTTTTAAAACTGCTAAGGGCAGCTACACTACTACATCAATTATTTCAAATTATTAACATATAACGGATATTCTGCATTCATTTGAATGCATGTGATGCAAAAATGACGACCTCTTTTAACGTAAAACATAATTTCTCAGCTTAGAAAAAAGTTTACTAATTGAAATAACGAGCAATTTAATCTACAGGCCTTGAATACAATAGCTCCTACTCTTCCAAAATAGAAATCTGGTTTTCCGGAGCTCACAAACGTATCTTTTTCACGGGGACCCGTATTTAAACAGCGATATGATTAAATAGTCAAGATTTTGTAGAGCAGAACGCGATGGTATTCACCAACACACCGTGTTTGTGGTTAACGCAAATGCGATGAAATTTTTAAAAAATGTTTTTTTTGTGAATTTCAACTTGAAACAATTCTAAATAAAATGCTGAATCCATAGAAATTACACCTGCTCTTAAACTGATAAACTAAGGGAGGAAAGTTCTAGTTTTCAAAAAAGATTATCGAAAAAAGTATTAAAAACTGGAACTGATCGCTTTTTGCTAAACACATTTCGCTCCCAGAATTATTCAGACGAAGACAAACAAAGCCATTTAAAAGCGGAAAACACTTTAAAATTGGATATAAAAATCACCTTAACTTTCTCAATATCTCTAGTGAGAGATTTTTCTTTCCTTTCCTTCACAACGACTCCAGAATTGTCATCGTCGATTTTTCTTTTTCTGTCCTAGGCACAAAGAGGTGTCTTTTTATATTCAAAAGACATTTTACGCAGTTATTCCAAAACAAAACCTAAATTACCTTAATGAGAGGTGCTTGTAAAACAATTTTTACTAAAGAAAGTGATATACGTCCTTGACCATCAATGTGGTTCACTCGCACGGAAAGTATGGAGTTTAAAGCAATTGAGGTGATTTCACTAAAACAAATAAATATGCAGAGCTCCCTCCCTCAATCAATGCTCTTCCATTTCATCGTAACCGTAGGTACTCCTAGGTGTCCAAATACGATATGAAAACGAGACCATCTCCAGCAAAGTCACCAAAAATGTGGACAAATTTGAAATGCCTTTGTCAAGTCGTAGTTAGGAGTAAACCTGTGTCCCTTAGAGTTCAGCAAGCTATTTGCAGCTACATTGTTCCTTAAGCGAACACAGTTACCCAAGATGTCCAGCTGCAAGGGAAGAACGAATGAAGTTCATCTTGAAGTTTACAAATGACATATATATATATATATATATATATATGTACATGTGCATACGCATTATATACACATGGATGTACATATTGTTTGCTTGGATGGATCTTCACTAGTTATGCGGGACCCAGCATAATTCCTATTTCTTCGCAGTTTTGCTGGTTTAGCCATTGTGCCTCCGTGGAGCCCCGTGGTTAGCCTAGCAAAAGTCTAACTCAGGTCGTCACCAGTACAGATAGTCACTGCACTCGTGGATCAGAGAGAGATTTGCCACCATGCGATTAGTTTGATAACAGGATGCTGATGGATCATGGTATTGGCTCTCTCATACCTGAGCTTCCTGGTGGAAATGCCGGATGCCTCCCCAGGTTGGCAGAACTTGGTGTAGCGACGAACCCCCTGCTTCATATCGCAGCCCAACACCCAGTAACATCTATCAGCCAAGATGATGAGGTAAACCGTTGGGAGACATGTACATATATGTGTAGCGAAGTAAATTCAAGAAATCATGTATGTATACATGTATATACATATATGCATATGCACGTAAAGATATATGTACGTGTAAACAAATTTAAGGAATCGTACGGATGATGGCTCTTTCGCAGACGACCGACAACTCCAGGTCCAATTTCCACCAAGACAGCCTCTAGCGTATGTTTTGCCAAGAATCCATCACACTAAGAGAAAAAAAGGCTGATAATCATATTCAATACTTACAAAAGGAAGAAAAACTCACTATGAGTCCAACTACAACTTCGTTTGGATCAACAAGTAGACGTCGACATTCAAGATACTCATTTGATTCCTTCTGCTTCAAATAAGACTCATACCGTCCTTCAGTACAAACATAATTTCGTTGAGGATTATGATCTTGACGAAGAGCATATAGATGGAAAATCTGAAACGTATACAAACACTTCTTTATAGCGAACTACTATGTGAAAAACGAGTTCTGTAACCAAAACTGTCGTCATACATAGTGACTTTTCGAACCTGATTTGTAAAAATTTCCAAATAAAAACAATACTTCGTCGGTACGAAACCTACACCGTTGCGTCTGAAATGTGTTACGTGCTCCGTAACTTTTTCGTAATTGTTAGCAATAGCAGTAGCACATAACGTTGCTTGTTGCCCATTAGGAAGTTGAAAAAGCACCGAAATCGGATGAAGGTTTATGTGTATTACTCTACCAGTTAGTCGGTGGCCAACATCGAATCTCTAAAATATCTTAAAATCAAAAACATTTGCTAAATTCTTCGTGCTTATTCAATCCAGTTCGGTTTTTTAAGAAAAAGAAAATGTAGGAAGAAAACCAATAACAGCTAAAAATCAGAGAATAAGCGGCAGTGAAAACCACTGCTAACTTGTTATTTTTCAGAAATATAAAACGACACATACCACTATACTAGCTTGCATATCGAGTGCCAAATTCAGTAACCCATGTCCGTGACTCTTTTTCAATTTTATCGCACTTAGTACCTCTGCTAATCGCATTTCACCTGGTTTTGGCAGATATTCGAACACTTCGCCATCGCGATCAGGAGCCTCAGCCTTAAAATATTAACGGTTAGAAATCCTCAAGAAAAAAAATTAAAAATATATCAACATTATATTTAACTTCCTGGAACAAAGATCAGTGACGTTCAAGTGGCGTACAAAGAACAAACATAAGAAAAGCTCTCGACGTTGATCAATCACTGAGGAGTGCGCCTTGAATTCGACTTCATTAAGCATCATTGGAAGTGATTAAATGTATATCTGGCCTTTACAATTACTCGCAGTGACCTATCGATGTCAGTGCTATCGAGCCAGTGCTCCTTTCTTTACAGTAAAGTCTGCTAGGAATTTGCCGACCCAGAAGGGACAGAGGGCTTAGTGGATCTGGGACGCCGGGATCGATCTTATATGTGGTGAAAGACGCCTCTAACCACTGCACTACACGCACCTCAGAACAAATATATACATATGAATCTAATAGAAACACCATAAAATGATCAACGGGCAGTATTAAGCAAGGAGAACATTTGCTCTATATAATATACGAAATCTGAAACATTGCACTGAAATTACTCAAACGAATGTGACAAGACGTGACCTAAAAGAATGAAAATAATGGATAAAGCTCCCCATTTTCACCAGTCCCTGAGGGATGTGCCTTTAATTCGACATCATTAAGCATCGTTGGAGGTGATTGAATGAATATCTGGCCTTTACAATGACTCGTTGTGGCCTAACGATGTATCAAACCAATGCTACTATCCTCCCAAACAAGTCTGGTACTAATTTTCCGAACCCGGAGGAATGGAAGGCTTGGTGGGCCATGGGCGCTGAGATCGACTCACTGTGTGTGTTTCAGGACGCCTCCGACCACTGCGCCATACGCGCCACTACGAAATGACAGAGTAACGTGGTGCGAAAATAACCACTTTCAATTTTATTCCAACATATCCCGGTTCATATTGCACTTAATTGAAGCCACCAAAAAATGTAGATTTTTCTTATAAGAGACACATTGTCCTACTCTGTTACGACGAAATTCTAAACTATTGCAGCTCACGAAACGCAGTCTAATTAAATTTTTGCGCCAAAACTTATGCTTCGAACACGGGAAAAATTGTACATGTGGAATCTCTTCAGGTCACTGGCTTATATCGCTGCTCCGCTTGAGAGTCAGATTGTAAAAAATCAAAGTCGTTTTAAGTTTTCTAGAAGATCCAGACCTGGATAAATTCATGATCAGCAGAGTAATCAATAAGTTTTATACAGCCTTATGGCTAAAGAGCAAGGCTTTTTCCAAATGTCTGCAAAGTTCTCAAGTTGCACACTAATCCAACAATGGAGAAAGTGCTTAGTTATGAATAAACTGGCTTCACGGAGAATGTGTCGAGGAAAAAATAAGTCAAAAGAGTTAACAATAACAAGTATATTAACAATCAACACATCTTTTATGCTACTACGAAGAACATCCGTTCCTACTCTTAAAGGCCACTAATCGTTTTTTTTCCACTTTTCTGTAGATACTCATATTTTAGGAGAAGTAAGTGAACAAGCCGTAGCTAGATATCTTCCAACAGGAGAATGTCATCGAATGAGTCCTTTTACGGTAAGATATTCCATGATTTCAACTTCGTAATTTCCTAAAGTTGAGTTCTCAACAAATCCATTTGCCCTTACAGCGATAGTGAAAGCACTTCTTATGGCTTTTCAAAAGTAGTAGGAAAACTATCAGCAGTTGTTCAAAATTTTGTGCTATCTTGAGAACATCGAATCAAATTACTTATCAAAATCTTTATAAGATACTTATAACGACAAAATACACAAAAAATCTAAAGCATACCTTCAGATCCTCACTAGAAGCTTCAATCGCAATTTGACCAGACCAAAGAGGGTTGACTTCAACACGAATCTTTTTCTTGGTGAGGTCTTGATCTGGTGATATAAAACAACGAAGAATTTCTCCATGCTAAAGAGGTAAAACTATAGCAAAATAAAAAGCAACCTAAGCTTAAAAAAAAGTGTAGGAACATATTTCAACATAAGCGATGAAAACCACTAGTGTTAATGTATTTCTTACTGTAAATACTGTTTGGAAAGCAACTGCAGTGGCTTTCTTGCGTGGCTCCGCGATTTTGGTCTCATTCATAGTCAACTCAGCAACACGAATCTAAAGAAGACTGAAGAGGAATACGAATGGCAAACGTTCACCAGATATCGATATGTTGTCACAATACTCTAAATAGTACCCGATAGGAAAAGAATCTGAAGCACCTTAGCGTCTTTCTTCTTTATTGAGATAAACTTGATAATCTTCACGACAACAGATCTCCTTCGATATTTCTTTAAGAAATTTTCAAGAGGGAAAGTGTTTTCAATCAGCAAACGAGAAGGTAGTTCGGACACATGGAGGCGTCCTATAATAACATATCTTCATTTACTCATCCAGTTCATAAAAAGTGTCTGCCATTAGATAACTACACTATAGGCGCATTCATATTGCGGATTTAGAACATTAACCCGGACATTTTCATGAGTTCTGCAGGACTTCAGCTCAGTCCTCATCAGTTACTGTCGCGATACAATACACATAATATAGAAAACCCACTGATGAGCGCGTACACTCACGCTTAGAACGCTTAAGCTCTTACAACCAATATTTTTGTGTATCAAGTATGCACCAACAGTAAAAATACATCCATAACAAATCTCCTAAATGGTTTATGTTCTCATCCACGCGAGGCGTATAGAGAACTTCAGGATACTGAAGCAGCAGAGAGGTCTGAATACCTTCCTCACCATGAATAATCCTATTGCAGAAAGCAACCAGATGAGCAATCTGGCCCGAAAAACTGTCTCTTGTGCATTATTAGAGCGTAAAGATGCAGAAAACATTTCTAAATCCATGTTGAACATATTTGGTGGACAAGTCACTCACTGCTTCCTCAATGCTATAGATTTCTTCCACTTTGCGCACCTTCAATAGTTAGCCATTCATACAGGTATTGCATCACCGCAGATTTCGTTTAGCAGGTGTGAGTACCCGATTCGTCGATTACTGGACTTTAAGCTACTTCACTGACTAATTTTTAGACAAATTGAATGTTGATCTTCTTAACAGCATCAGCTAGAGTAGTCTTACCTTTCATTAGTAAAAATCAAATTCGCAAAATTCACGTTAACGCCTCCCTAAATACTGTTGTTTAGATGTTAAGAAAGAGAAATCAACAACATTCAGAACATAACTTTACTGACGCTGAGGTATTTGCAAAAATCGGGACCGCAGGTGTCTGCGGTGGGGAAACATATATTTAATACCCCTTCGTTATAATATATACCCTGCGGTTAGAAAGACAGTAAATAATAAGCTAAAATTCAGAACATAGTTTGAAAGGAAGAAGTTCCCAGGCAATAAAAAAGGGATAAAGCTCCCTGAGGGATGCGCCAGGCATTCGCCTTCACTAGGCATCGCTATGAATGCATATCTGGTCTTCGTAACGATTTGCGGTGGCCTACCGATGATCGAGGCAGTGCTGGTATCCTCCCAGCCAAGTCTGGTACCAATCTGCCGACACAAGAGGTATGGAAGGCTTAGTGAGCCTGGGGCGCAGGAATCGATCCCATGTGTATTGCAAGGTTCTTCCGAGCATTGCCCTACAAGCGCCCTTTCTAGCTATTAGTTCCAGGCAATATTTCAGAAAATGCGTCAAAATTCTAAACATCCCAATTAAAACCTAGTACTAGCATTGCCTCTTTTTTTACTTCAATACTTTAAAACACCTGCTCTAAGCCTGCATCACGTTAAAGAAATTCCATAAACAAAAAAAAACAAAACAGCAAACATTACCTATATGACCTCCAGGCAATTCTATTTGAGCAGCGAGCTTTCCATGATCACGACGGTCATCACTAATCCACGGTCCAAGCACAATACCAGTATATGTGCTAAGATTCTTTACGCTTTTCGTGCGCAAACCCTGAATTTTGCAAACTCAGCAACATTCCTGGGTTCTTGTAGTAGTCACGAATAGATGAAGCTTAGACAAACAAGGAAAAAAAACCGACCAATTTAGATTTCGACTTCTTTGCCAAACCAATTTCGCTTTCACTTAGCTTCGCTGATTTCTTCTCTGAAGAGCGCAAAGTTAACTCACTAATAAAGGTACCGCAATGTAGTAATAAACAATCAAACGCAGTTGTATTTGTAAACATTACGGTTATTCAGACGATAGGACTAAAGTATGGAACTGATACTGACCAGGAAAAGATCTTGGCAAATGTTGCGGAGGTATCAACTCGTTAATCAAGTCAGTATCCTTTTTAAGAAGACCGATGTGCACTTGGTCCGTTATAGGAATTATGTCTCCAATATCAACTTCATCGCCATAGGAAATTCGTACTAAAAGACTTTTACGCTAAGAACCTGCCAACAGGAAATTGCAGGATGTTGGTTAAGAAGAAGACGAACAGTTTTTGATTTCTATTACTTGATTTGGATGGAACCTTGACGGAATGAATATTAAGTGGGTTTTCTCACTAGGTAGTACAGCAATATAATCTCTCTTCGCAAGCACAACGCGGTTTGCAGGAGGTTCAGGGTTCTGAAAACAGTTATTAATCAGCAACAACTAAAAACAAGTAGAATAAATATAGTCACCTGTTTCACTAGAGATTTTTTCTTAATTTTCTTACTCGCTACTGCAACTGTACTTATCATGTCTACCATCACTAACTCAGCATCGTTTTGGGGAAAGACGTAATCAATGACCAGACATTTGATCTTATCACCAACCTATAAAAAGATTACGAGGGTTAGCCGTCAACTTCATGCTAATTTAGAACATCAAAATAACCTTAACGCCATCTGTGTAGTTACCCTTACGAACACGACCTGTTAATTTGTCGTTAAAAATCACGAACAATTCATCATCGACGATTTGTGATATTGTCGAAATTACAGTCGATCCTTAAACTTTCTAAATAATTAATCGACTCGTCGAACGTATTCTAACAAACCAGTGAAGTAAAGGCGAATATGAAATGAACCATGAAGTGGTAGTTCAACTTTGGATGACCGAGCAATTTGAAGCATTTCTTCAACACAGGACCGTACAAGTTGTAATGCTATGCTGGCAGCTGGCGATGAAGTCTTTGACGGTAGATGTTCGTGAGGAACACAGTCAATAAGCTAAAATAACTATGATACTAGGTCGATATCCCGAAGCGCCTTTTTAACCCCTCAAACACTCATTCCACAACTTGCTTGTTCAGTATTCTCCTAAAGTTATTTGCAATATCTACATACTCATGTGTAACTCTAGAGAGCTTACACCTCTATAAAAACCTATACACTCTTCGGACCCCTTTCTCTGCAGGAGTCAATTGACAGGGTAAACAAAGAAGTGATCGTTCAGTAGCGAATAGCTAAAAACTAACACTATTTTCATATGGGAGATGTTCCTGGGTGGTCGAGCTGCGATGTACTGCGGGAGTGTTTATCCCCCAGCACAACCAGTGAAGACGAGCCATACAAGTATCCAAATAAGTACTAACAAGCTCATAGACCCAAGAAGAAAGTAGTGATTTATACAACCAATTATGGTACTCAAGGAACTTATAAAGATCACAAAACCGACACACTTAAGTGCTAAATTAGACGAACAGTCAAGTATCCTCATATATTAGCAAAAACGACTAAACTGCGACCACCAACGACAGGCGCAGCTACTTTTGATCACATGCAACTGTTGGTACATTTTTTCAAGCCTAACACCAGGACTAATTACATGCAAAGTTTGAAACCAATATGGGTGCTAGTCTAAGCAAAATTGACTGTGTATTCAAAGCTTCAATGTATGTAGTAACTATGTTTTTAAATATTTATGTAATCGCGAAACTGTGATACATGGTTAAACTAGCGAATGCAAGCAAACTGGAACCACAACCTGCTTAGTGAAAAGGCTCCTTAAAAGCAAAACAGACAAACGTAAATAGTTTACCTTTAAACTAACACGGAATGTCTTCTTCTCCGAATGAATGCTACGTATGCGTCCCACCACTGTTTGCCCTATCTGTAGACTAGAAGCTCCATCCTTACCTATAATATAATTGGCTGAAAACGGCCCAAAAACAATTTGGACCGAAGTATACCTCCATCTATGTCATCGAATGCTACTTTCCCTAACAGTCCACTGCCACCAACAATCTCTACATAAAGACAGTCATCCGGTACTCGTTGAGAAATAATTCCACAAACCAGCTGCAACGACTATCAACTAAGACACAATTATATTTATGGAAACATTTCCACGTGATCAATATATTAGAAAAGATAGAATCATTAACCATAAGACTATAAAACTGTCTCAACTACTGAAATCAAACCTGAAATGGCTTCAAATTAGCAAAGCACTTCGGAATGTCCATTTTGAAACATTCAAGCCACGTGCACACAAACCGCTTTGAGATGAACTAGAATATTCTCCATAGCTTATAAAAAATAAATGGGAAATTATTGTGGTACAAGGAAATGTAATAAAGAAACAAACCTAAGCCTAAGCCAGGATTTCATGACAGGATTACTAAACTCTTAACAAGATTACAAGTTTATAACAACCTGACATATTGAACTCTTCAGTTTATACACGACAAGGTAGAAAGCTCTCTGTTTATATTTCACAAAATAAGCCATACAAACTTTAATACATATAACAATGCCTTAAAATCATTTACAAATACTCACTCGATTATGACCACCAACAGATCCAAGTGGAATGACAGGGGACAGCTTGAGTCCTTTATACAGCAACCCCACCATTGACTCCAATGGTAAATCAAGGAACTCAGAAAAATGAACAGGTTTGAGATATCCTCTCACGAATTTGTCCTGTAAACTTCCCTAAGCGAACTCATTCACATGCGTCAGCTCTAGTTCTCCTTCTACAACTTACCAATTCAAGGTGAAGTAGGACTTTTTCCAATTTTCGTCCACCGATTGATGATTCATCTTCACACACATCGTCAACGATACCAGTAAACACCATCTTCCCATTAGAATCAAAATTGACAGGCTGAAAAAAAGAAACTTGACACAGTTGGTGACAAGCAAAAGGAAGAAAAAAACCTTTGGATTAATTATATGATTTGGCGCTGATATTGACTCATCGGCTAAAGCCAACGTCATCTTTTCTTCTGAAGCGTTGACTGACATAACACGCACCTCCAGAACCATTCCTTGTCTGTATAAAGAAACTGAACAAGAAGAAGAACTGAAATAAAGACTGAAGAACAGAATATTGTCGAATAATAGCTCAACTTGCGAAAACCACAAATTCACATAAAAATCAAAGGTTAATCAAATAATCGGCACTACTTTCAAAAGTAATACTTCCGAGTAACTTTAACACTATTTCTCAACTTTGTTAACTGCGCTACTGGCCAGTGTTTCTTAAATTAATTGGAATAATGTTGGACAATTTCCCAAGCACAATAGAAACCTCTAAATCTTACAAAAGTTATGATACTTTCAAAAACCCGTAAACCCTTTGGCGAAGACTCGACTGAAGTCCAGGCAGGAAGCAAAATTTTAAAAAAAAAGATCTGAATGAACTATTAAGATGAATATACACCGCAGCATAGCATAGAAGAGTTTCAAAGAAAAAAAATTTGACCCTAGATGTTATAAGAAAAATCTTGCTTTTTTGAAACATAGGTCGACGTATCCCGAAAGTTTGCCAAGTACCAAATGACTACCAATTTTAAGAGTGGGTAGAAGGGGCACATTTCTCGACGTCAAAGTAAAATTTGGTCCGCTTGGGTTATATATTTCAATCTAACGGTGCTTAAGACCTTCACCTGTTTTGTGCATGAATTCCTCACGTTACACGTCCTGGTAGACTATGTACGTATCATTTCTTAGATATTAAACAAATTTAGTTCCTCAAAACTGAGACTATTGATTTCTCTTGCTAAATATCAACTGCTTGACAATAAAGTACTATTGATCACTTACCTAACTTCATTCGCAATCCTCTTTGCTTCACTGGCTGAAAGAAGGCCACGAACTGTCCCGAAAAACTGCACAATTGCACCACCGGTTTCCAAAATCTTTACGACTACACCAACTGCTACAACCCCATCGTATTTAGGGCTATACGACGAAATCAAAGTTCCCTGTATATTAAGCAGAAGTTAAATGAAGATAAAAAGCAAGAGTTAACTAGGAAATTAAAAATTAGACCTTTCACGGGCTAAAAGGAAAACAAAATTGATAAACTGAGGATAGAAACAAGTAGTAACATCTTAGAAAAGCAACTTAGCTTACCATGTCATACAACTAAACGTTTCAACTGATTTTTAAGTTTTTTTGTGGAAAGAATTAGTACGCCACTCAATGATACCTTGTAGTTTACAAGAGATGGACGAGCAGTGAGCCAAATTTGTTTCTTTTTCGCATTCACTAACCACACGCGGCATTTGACGTTGGCACCTGGAAATATAAAAGAAGGGTATTACACTTCTTGTAGTACTATTATCTTTTTCCAAAAATCATAGCAGTACTGAAGATATTATAATTTTAATTTGTGCTTACCAACTGTGAAAGCTTTTTCTAGTGCAACTTTCTTGTCAGCAACATGATCCAAAGGAATAAATCCCTTTATCAAGTCGCTGACAGTGACTTGTACTCCACGAGGATGAACATCCGTTACTTTGGCAACCACAACTTCGCCTGGCACAGCATCCTAATTCAATTTTCGATGTAATTGTTTCTAATAAAAACAAAATAAAGTTTAAAATTGGGAAGGCTCCATGGTTCTAACTTGAAAGAAATACTGCCAGGCACAAATATCCACACATTCGTGACTTTCCGAATCATACATGATTTATACTGCGCAAAAGTAATGGCTGATTTCGGCTTCAAGTGAACAAAACAGCTCTTGAAGCATAATAATTGAGAAAAAGACTGTAAAACGTACAGATCTTCGCCAAGCAGAAACAAAATTTTTCATTATACCAGGAAGAAATCTAAACTTCCTAAAACCCAAAAACTTTTTTCCTCACTGATGATCGTGTGTGGAAAACATAAGCTGTTAGAGGTTATTTCCTTGCGTACGACCGGATGATGTTCCCAGGTGGTCTTTGCAGCCACCGTGATTTTGCTAAACACTTTGAAAATCTAAACTTTAGTTTCAGTTTTGCGGAAGATTTATTACCAGAAAAGTTAAGAATGGAACAATACTTTATATCAATTGTGTTATTCCGAAGTCGATGAGAAACTATCTCTTCTATAGGTTACTGAAGTCTTCAATTCCTCAACCACTCTAGTTATTGAGAAACCAGCATGGTCACGATAGTATTAAGATAAATAAACCTATTGAATTGACATAATAAAAAAATGAAAAACACAAATAAACCTTGTACGATACGAATTTTTGATTGAGGACTTCCTTACGATTACAGACAACTATACAGCGATCAGCATATCGAACACTCATTATTCGACATATGTGTTCCGACCCAATTGAATAAAAAGTTTCTGTAAAGTGAATAATAGTCGTCTAATCAATTCCAACAACGAATTTGTGAATATGGGCGAAGATTATGAAATGATTATATAATATTTAAAAACAAGCGACTACCGTCTTTCTATTTATTTGCTATTATCTAGCTATCTTTCTGTTAATTACAAATCTTTTAACCTCAAAAGTGATCAATAACTCACTGATGAGCACACACGAGTTTGTTGTTACAGCACTTATTTATTCCCAAGGGGCGTGCGTGGCGCTGTGGTCGGAGGCGCCCTGCGATACACTTGGGATCAATTACCTCCCTCCTGGCCCACCAACAGAATTGGCTGGGAGGATAGCAGCACTCGCTCGATACATCGGTAGGCCACCGCGAGTCATTGTAAAGGCCAGATATACATTCAAACACCTCCAAACGATGTTTAATAAAATCGAATGCATGGTGCATCCCTGAGGGATTGATCAACGCCGAGAGCTTTATCCTTTATTTATTTCCAATAGAGACGTTTCGGCAGTTACTTGGAAACTTACAAAGAATAAAACTTCTCTTAAGAAGGCGAAATGTGGAAACGCCACCTATTGTGAATAAATAAGCTCTTTAATAACAACCTCGTGTTAGCTCATCAACAAAACTGTGAATTATACATCTATTTTTTGAAAAAAAAAATTAAAGATGTCTTGCCTAAATACTTTACAAGAACTGATAATAGCGAAGCGTAGAACCCAAACACAACTAAGTCTACAATGGAATTAGAAGAAGAAAAGGATAGAGCGACAAAAATTTCGGTGTTAATTTACTTATTAGGGGAATGCGCCTGGCATCGCTTAGACTGACATTATAAAAGGAGAAAGCATTAAGCTTCCGGCTTTGACCAATCCTTAAGGTCGCCATACATTCGACTTTATTAACCATCGCTGGAGGCGACCGAGTACATAAGTTAACCAACAGAGTGATTTCCGGTGGAATACCGATGTACCAAGTTAGTGTTTTTATCCTTCAACACAAGCCTAAAACTAATCTGCCAAATCCGGAGAATTAGGGTTTTGGTGAGCCCGCGGCGCATCATCGAAGCAACAACCACGTGCGTATTGCATGGGACCTCTAATTGCTGTGCAACACTCATCTCCAAGTTAAAGTAAGGTTATGTAAGATTATAAGTCTTACCAAACTTTTCTAGTTTCCTGAGATACTGCTTGTACGAAATTGCAGCTATTAAAGGAACCTTCCCATCTTCTGTCGTCGGTAATGAGAAACAAACAAAAAGCTTAGATGGTATAACATCGATAACTTTGCATTTGAGGCGATCACCAATAGAATAGCCCTGAAACACTAATTTTAGACCAAAAATTCTCTCAATCAGTATTACTACTATTCTGTAGAAGAACATGATGGAAAAGTACAATTTCTTCCTAACTTATAAGGAAGAAATGTGAGTCAACAGTTCCTTCCATCATCTTGCAACATGAACAGCACGGTGCTTCAGGAATTAAACAAGATGGAAATAATATGAAATGCAATTAAATTAACAAAAGTAAATTAATTAAACAACTGACCATAAATGATGATCGTTTTTCCAGCTTGCTTATAGCCACAATATCAGGATGAGCAGAGAGTACAAGTAGAGGGGTATTTTGTTGACAAAACATAACGACACAGCGTAATGTCTTTCCAACTTTCGTAATATCGCAACGAAGACGAGGAGGTAGGTTACTCTTGGCCACAAATCCTCGCACACCTAAACTGAGATGTGAAATCTAAACTATCACACCTACAATTTTTTGGAACAACATAAGTTATACATATAAAAAAGTATGTATTCAAGAATGCTAAGAATACCGTTTCCCAAAGTCACATAAACACCAGCTGATACTGGTGGTTGGGGATCAGCTACACACTCAATAATCGTACCAGGCATTAAGTGGTTGAGCACCAAACTCTCACATGCCTCCAAGCAAAGACTACTCTGCAAATATATTACGGTCAATAATCTGCATGAGCTCGGACATGTCAACTGCTGCGGGAAAAAAATAAAGGAATGACCATATAAGCAAGCTACCTGTTCGACATAGGAAGTGACAACCACAACCCTAGAAGTTTTTAACGAATCAATACCAACAATCACTGGCTGTCCGACTTCAACTGGACGTTGTTGCTTCTCAGTCGGCAGAAAAGCCTGCATCGATTGCATACCAATATCCATTACAGCTCCTACAAGAAATGAATTCCTTAGTAACTAAACGAGGAATTACGTTATTCTTAAGGAATAAATGCACCTTTCTCTTCCTGACTTGTTACAACAGCATGTAAAACTAATCCTGGCATCAAAGTTAAAGGTGTTAAATGAGCATTGAGTTTTGACGGATCACAGGTAACAATAGGTAGGACTTCCGAGGTTTTTTTCTTACCAGCAAAACCACGTTTTTTCTCGGCTAAAAAATTAGAAGTAACAATAAAATGAAAATGAAAAACATGTACACACTATAGGTGGCGAGGAAAACAAAACATGGCTTAAAAATCTTAAAAAATATGTTAGAAAATTTCTCACCTGTTTGTGAACTTCGCTCAATAACGCGAAAAGGAACCATCTGACCAACAACAAATGTAGAATCCAGCGAAATTTTCTCTGATTTCAGTAAATCCGTGAATTTCTTGGAGATCTATGATGAAAGTGTAAATATGGTATCAAAGAAAGGCATGTAAATAAAATGAATATAGACGATGTCAAATATGAACATACTTGTGTGGCGGGTAATTTTACCCGACAGGAATATGCGGTTTCCAACAACACATAATCTGCATAAACCTGAAGCACGTCGAAATACAAAATCAAATTATTATAAGACCAAATATAACTTCTGAACCATAAATAAATCTTTTACTATTGTCGACTGGCGTGTGTGGCGCAATGGTCGGAGGTACCATGCAATACACACGAGGTTGATCCCCGCGCCCCTCGCCCATCAAGCGTTCCGTTCTTCCGGGGTCGGCAAATTAACAGCAGATTTATCTGGGAGGATAGCAGTACTGGCTCGACACGTCAGTAGGCCAACGCAATTTTTGTAAAGGCCAGACATGCGTTCAACCACCTCCAACGATGCTCAATGAAGTCGAATGCATAGTGCATCCCTCATGGTGATCAACGCCGAGAGCTTTATCCTTTATCTTTATCGATCATTTGTGCCGAGGTTTATAGAAAGACGGTCGCAAGTTGTGTCATAAATAGCCATGCGCTGGACCAACAATTTCGCCCCCTATGGCATCCTTGAATACGCTTTCAACAGTGAGGAGTGATCCGCTTTTATTTGAAAACAGCAATTAATTTAAATAGAGTTAAAATGGATCCGTTCTCACTGGTAATGCCGGCTCCAGCATAATTTCTATTTTTTCGGAGTTTTGCTGGTTTATCCATTGTGATTCCCTGGAATCCTGAGGTCAATCTGGCCAAAGTCTGTCTCAAGTCGTCGCCATCAAAGGCACTCGCCGCGCTTGTGGATCAGAGGGATTTTTGCACCATGCGAGACTAGTTTGGTACCAGGATGGTGCTGGATCCTGATACTGGCCTACTCTTAGCTGTGCTTCCTGATGGAAACCCCGGACTCCTTGAACACCCAGGTACACCTCCCAGCCACGCCACGATGAGGAGGTAAACTGTTAGAAGGCTAGTCTCTTACTATTCGGTCAAATTTTAGTCCAAATAAAGATGATAGTTAGGCAAAAATACGCTCCATAAAACTGCACATTTCTCGTAGTTATCGAAAATCCCAGGTATGATATTAAATGTTTACTTATGAACGAACTGTTGAAACTATTTGACATCATTACAATATCTCTCTTCTAACAATGAATCCACTAACCTCCGTAACTACTCCTAGCCCCATAACACCATCCGTAAGCAGTTTTTGCGTCACTGCTTTCGTCCAAACCACTCCATTTCCATTACATTTTCTTTTCTTCGCTGGTATTTCAGCGGTCACAGGCTCCTTCCTTTTTGTTCCTCGCTAAAGATTTCATCTCAAAACAGTATTGTGAGGCCTAGGAACAACGGTTATGACTCAAAACATTGCTTCTAAGACCTAGACCTTCTGAGACCCTTCTAAGGCACTTCTAAGACCTCCTCTTTGAAATAACTAATAAAGTAAAAGTAGCAATAGCGATTGTAGGGAATCTTATGGCACTATTCACCATATCAACTAGTTATAAACGGCATAAAACAACAATAAACGCAGATTCAGCTTGAAACAAATAGCTGTACTCAGAATTTTCCGCTATATTCCAAGGATTCGGTCCTGGAAAGCTCAGAAAATACTGTTGGGTAGATCCACAAACCTTTTTATCCACACCGAACAACTGATTTCCGGCCTTTCTAAATTTATGTTTACTAGAGTAACTGGAGTCTTTCTGGTGAGGAGGAACTGCCGCAGCACCGCCTCGTGGGAAATCAATCTCATGTTCTAAAGCGCCCATCCTAGTGTATCTACCTGGAAAAATGGCATAAGCGTTAACTTCTGCGCAAAACATGAAAATACCGCATAATAGAGATACTAGAGATTGAGAGATACAATAGATACAAACATTACAAAGCTTCACGACAATGACTGAAAGAATCTAACGAACGGTGCTTGAAATCCCCAGTACACAAATGTGTTGTGATGAACTCCAAGGTGATGCCAGTAGTAACCCGCTGCTGGTGGTACATGAAAACTCGTACTGCTCTCCGCCCACTGAAGACGTCGGCCGGCGCTGCTGTGTGGCTAAAACGGCACAGTTCTCAATCTCAGGATCCATCGTTCATCCGTGCACAAACATAACTCTATGTAGTAACTTTTTTGTTTACTGCCTATTCTTTCTTCATGGCCGGGTGGGATGTGAAGTATAACCACAATGATGCTTAGATATTTGCAAAACTCCTGACCGCAGGTGTCTGTGTTGATGATCGAACCCGCTATTACCCTTTCCGTAGGGTAACACATTCACCACCATACTATGCGGGTCCTTCGTTCGCCTTTCTGTCAGCCGCGTTCTGACCTGTAGGTGCTATCAGCAATCACCCATCAACAGGATTGATCTGGGGGGGGCACAAATCGGCATTGAATCTAGTTAAGCTGAACCTGTAGCATAAATCACAATGTAGTCACCTTTTTACTTAATGCCTAGGCTTCTTTCATGGTAGGACGTGATGTGAAATACCTCTGCCATAACTGTACAATTTAGATTTCTATGAATGGCTCTTAGCATATATCGCATAAAACGCAGGCGCTAACGATTCCTGAACGATTTCCTGTGGGAAGTGCCATGCACTCGATTCCATTCGTATCATCCTAGAGATGAATGAGTGCATCTTTGGCTTATACAATGACTTCCAGTGTCCTTGCCATGTATTGAGTCAATGCTGCTATCCTCCCAGACAAGCCTAGGACCAATTTGACGATAGCGAAGTGACGGAAGGCTTCGCGATCCAGTGGCGTGCTATCGAGCCAAAAACCTACTGTGCATTGCCCGGTACCGCAACCACTGTGCTATACGCGTCACATATAGCTGTCTCAAAATTCCCTCTTTTGCCTGCTGCCTGCCTCATCGTGTCGAAAGGTGCTCTCGGGTGCCGCATTGTACACATGTACCACGGGGTTCATACCTTGCCACGAGGTCATCCAACTTGAGAAGAAATTCGACATTTCCAGCCTAGACTCCATCTACATAGCACATCTATGTGAGGAATCACCACCGTTCTGGAAAACGGAATATTCACATTGTGGGAAATTCCTCTTCGGTCCATGAAGCAGTACGATTGGCTATGGCGACGACTTGAGGATCCTCTGCCGATGGTACCTTGGAATTCCAAGAAAGAAACGTTCGCTTACATCGTCATCTCTTAAAACCAACATTGACAAGCAGTCACGTTTTGGGTTGCGAGTTTATATATATATATATATCGCATAGTATATCTTATTACTATTATATACAATATTGTTGTTATTAATGCGTGGTTTTCTTGTTCAGCAATCGCGAGGTTTTTAAACAGCATACATTTACTTCCATAGAGAAACACAATACAATACAACACTGGCTGACGTTTCGGCAGTATCGCCTTCTTCAGAGTCTGGAAGGGCACACTGATATACAATCTACTAGGCCAAACGCTTCAATAACACTTACAAAAAGACGAAAAACTCTTTGGTAATTACATAATCAACAGCTTCTCGAAAAACCCACCGCTTTTTTGTGACTTCCAATGAGGAAGTTTAGAACAGCTGATTATAGTCGCATGTGGTTGACGACTGCACCATCCCACATCAGAAATTGAAGCGACGGTACGAGGCCAGGTCTCGTGTGACCTCTGGGTATTTCATCAACCATATGCGAATACAATCAGCTGTTCTAACCTTCCTCATTGGAAGTTACGAAAAAAACGGTGAGTTTTTCGAGAAGCTGTTGATCATGTAATTACCACAGAGTTTTTCGTTTTTTTGTAAGTGTTATTGAAGCGTTTGGCCTAGCAGATTGTATATCAGTATACCCTTCCAGGCTCTGAAGAAGGCGATACTGCCGAGACGTCAGCTACTGTTGTATTGTATTGTGTTTCTCTATGGAAGTAAATGTATGCTGTTTAACAACCTCGCGATTGCTGAACGAGAAAACGACGCATTCATATTCCAATGCCGAGGTTAATAAAAAGTCGATCCTGGGAATTGTTGTTATTTTTCACATTACCTACCGGTTATTACATCCACTGTGGCAATCCTAGCACTTCCTGCATCCGAATCTTTTTTCCTCTTATTCATCGTCCACAAAAGTCTTCCAACATTTCGCGTATTATTTCGGCTATTGCTTGAGGATTTCCTCTTCTCTATGACTGTCGTAGAATACTGATAGAGTCGATTCTTCTTTCAATATTGGAGATATCCGAGCTTAGGCGTTTCCACATACACTGACGGAGAGCGTTGAGGACTGGAGAGGGTGTCGAACCAGCAGCTTGCTTCCTAATAGATTGCACCACTAACCATCCTCCACCCCGAGTATATCACAGAGTACTTTTTATTTCACACAACACCTGCTTCCCAATTGTATGGCCGACCCGTCTTTACGAGTTGTGCGGGTTTAAGGACACCTCCTATTCGTTTCTTAGCAGTGTTATCGTCGTCTATGGTGGTGATTTGATTCGGACGTGGTGGCGGGTGCCAGTCTGGTAATGTGATTTTTAAAACAGCTGGAGCTGCGAGTGCGGCTATTTCACTTTGGTTACAAACACCTGTGGACCTCTGCACAGCAATTTAAGTTCGGTGTCATGACGGTCCTTAAATACTTCACCTGAAATGCTTTTGGTGGGCGTTGTTATTGTGGCTCGGGAGTTCTTATTTTTGGAGATAACCGATATGCAAAGCAGATTATTGACATCAAAAATGAAGCTTGTAGGGATGCTGAACTAAGGGCACTGGTTTATTAAATGTTAGTGACATCTAACGTACAGCAAATCGATGATTTTGTGTAACCATTGTCGCTGTTGTACTAAATTTCCAAAGGTCATCAGACCGCCACCTCCTTCACACAAGATTCCATTTTTCGCGGAAAGGAGATAAAGCTTCTAAGTAGAAAAAACGAAATCCCATAACGACCATAAACTGGGATATTACTCGGCTGTTGGAAAAATTCCGCTATGCATAACACCGACGAGGAAATACGATTAGCTCATTCAATATTTCCACGTTAGCGCTCTGAAATCTGAAGGTTGAAAGTCACCGAGAGACGTCTGGCTCCAGAAGTTCTCGTGCTGACAACATAGCGTGGAATTGCACGACCTAAAGACAACCGCAAACTCACGTACGAGATTAAAAAACGGTGCAGACAGACAATCAAAGAAAAACTTAAAAGAAGAACAGTAGCAACCATGTCCGAAGTTACAAGTGCTGGGAAGAGCATGAGCAAAGGCCACCGAAACTTCGCCAATTACAAAACAAAACAAAAGATGATTGCACTCCGATGCCCAGATTGTTCAGATTTCATCAATAGCCACGTCTTTCCCTCACATGAAATAAAGGAGGATGGGTATGTCGTGCCACCGGTTCTCCCTTCCGAAATCCGACATACCATTTCGTCGGTGAAAAATCGAACGGCTCCAGGTCCAGACAGGATAGGATCTGAACACTTGAAGAACTTTCCGCCAGTCCTCGTAAATACACTAGTTCGGCTCTTCATATATTACCTATCTAAGTGCAAGGTCCCTACTCAGTGGAAGGCCAACAAGACGGTGCTATTGTTCAGGAAGGGTGACCTCTACGATATCGGCAACTACCGCCCAATCCGTTTGCTATCTGTCGTCTACAAAATTTTCACTCGAGTTATCCTAAACAGGATTGACAGAACACTGGACGACGGACGGGCATGTGGGCAAGCAGGGTTTCGAAAAGGATTCAGTACGATGGACAACATTCACACGATAACAAGACTCACTGAAGTATCTCGAGAGTACAAAAGACCGCTCTGTCTCACTTTCATCGATTTAAAGAAGGCCTTTGGCTCAACTGAGGTAGGAATAGTAATGGAACCCATGGACAGCCATGTAGTCGCTTCTTCCAATATATGAAAATTCTTCGTGAGCTGTATAGAAATTGCGTAACTAGAGTATCACTATTCTATAAGTACATTAAGATCTACGTCAAAACAAAGGTTAGGCAAGGCGATACCATCTAGGTAAAATTATTTATCACCACCCTCGAGAATATTACTTGAACACAAATGGAATAACATGAGAGTGGAAATTGATGTTCGGCAAATACACCATCTTCGTTTCGCTGACGTCGTCGTTCTTAAAATACTAAACATTAGCTAAGCGGAACGAATGCTTGACGAATTTAATAACGCCAGTGCAAAGATTAGGCTTGAACTGAATCTCATAAAATGGTTTTCATGAGAAACGGATTCATTTTGTACGACCCATTCGCTTTCAATGGAAAGAATAACTCCAGATGGTCCAGCTACGTCTATCTAGGTTGGGAAATAAACATCTTGAGTGACTTGGCTTCAAAGTTGAGTACGAGGAAACGAGCCGGTTGGGGATGTTTCAAGACCAAGAGACATATTAAACAGAACAAAGAACATCTGACTCCACACCCACCTTTTCGACTCCACTATTCTTCACAACTTAACGTATGCGTCAGTAATCTGGTCGTTACGTAAAGTGTGAGCGACCACTCAGCATTACTGCACGCACAGTCGAAAGAACGATGTTAGGAGTATCCCGTATCAGAAATGAAGGAAGGGATCCAAATCTCCGAGTTACGTCAACGATAAAAGATCAGAGACGACGTTCTAAAAGCCAATTTATCGAAAATAAGGTAGGTCGGACATTCTATGCGTATGAATGACAATCGATGGGCGAGACCCGTTAGTGACTGGATTCTTCGGGATGACAAACGTATAATAGGAAAACAACAGAACCGATGGTCATAATTCTTCACGAAAGCCCTAGAAGAGAGGTATGATGATCAGCGAGTCTCTAGAACAATCAAAACCTACTGGGCTTCTTTTCCACGCGACAAGAGGAAACGGAAGATTTTCTGGCACTCGCTCGAGTAGATCGACGATCAGTGGGATGTCAGCTGATACAGGCTATACAGTAACACTTCATCCATTCTTCCTTCTACGTGATATTGGTGGGTCGGACATGTAATGCGTATGAATGACAACCGATGGACAAGAGCCGTTAGTGACTGGATTCCCTCGGGATGTCAAACGTACTGCAGGAAGACCACCGACTCGATGGTCAGAGTTCTTCACAAAGAGTCTTGAAGAAAGATATGATGGTCAACGAGTCCCTAGAGCGAGCAGAACCCACTGGGATACTCTTGCACGCGACAAGGAAAAATGGAAGAATTATTGGCGCCGGCTCCAGTCGGCGATCAACAGGACTACAGGTGATACAGGTGATACGTGATATTTAAGAGAGTTGCCCAAAATCTCATCAAATATCTTCAATATTCAAGTGATATCTATCATAAGAAATCAAAAATATAGTGTAGAGAGTTTCATTTCGGTAACTCGACGACCAGCTTGTGGCTGGTCGAAGTGAGTTCGTTATCACAATAATGTTTCTTCTAACACTAGGAAATGGAATAGTGCTGGTGGAACGATTACATGTTGATTTGCTGAGTAGGCTCAGCACGTGTCAACATTCTTCGTCTCTGTATTAACCAGATCGAAACAGACACTTAATTTTTCAATGATTCTTCTAGGAACGAATTATCTCTTAGCACATAACGCCTTCAAACTGGCTGAAATGTCCAAAGTCAATGTGAACACAATAAAAGATCTCAAGGATTTGAAGGCACCAGAAAATCGACAAAACCGCAGGAAAAACATGGAAAATCAGCAAGATCGTAAGATTTTGTTGCAACGTTTGCACAGTGAATAGTGAAACAACTAAAAGAATATGACGATTCTGAGGTATTCTCAAAGCTTGGACTCCCTACCAGGTCGAACCACGATTTCCTTCCCGGGGGCTCGTGCATTACACACTGCGCCACTGAGGCCTTTGCTCTGCGTTTCTCGCAACTAGTTTTATATCTATCTCCGTGGCGCACTGTGTAATGCGCAAGCCCCACGGAAAGGGAAATCGTGGTTCGATCTGGCTCGGGGTCCAAGTTTTGCAAACATCTAAGCATCGTGGTTGATTTCGAATAATACTCTGCCGTAAAATTGGTACCAGGCAGTAAATAAAAAAGCACGAGAGTGTACTTCACTTTCTCTTGAGGCTACAGTTTTTTATTTCACCAAGCACATTTAGTACATTCGTGCTGACGCACACTTTAGCGCAGGTAACAAAAGGAACTATAACTAGCCTTTCCTGGCACTCGCTGTGAATCATATGTGACTCACGTCCTTCGCTCTTTGTCAAATGAGTAATCCGACGCTTTTAACTCTGCTTTTTAATGTATAAATCGGCTTCATTACACATTTTTGAGGTTATTCCCATTGTTTTGCAATGTTCTACATCTCCACTATGCTTTGCTATGCCCCATACTTCTGAAAAACGAGGGAAAAACTACGAAGAAAATAGCTCATCTTGACTCATGTCCTCCATCGCGCATCGCAGGAATGAGTCTGATATGATTCTTATCTGAACCAGTAGGTTAAATCCTCCAACATCTGTCTTCTGTGAAAATCTTAGCGGTCTGTAAGGATCAAATTAAAAGTAAGTTTAGTTAATAACTCAGAAGTATCTCCATACGCTAGCGATTTTTTTCTAGCAAAATGCTATGAAAGAAAGCGTACTGATTGACGGAACTAGTTGAAGGTCGTAAGGCGTAACCAACCTCTATATGATCCAAAACGTATTTTAAAGCTGTGTATACAGATTTTCAATTGTTTACTGCCTACTCTTTTTAATGGCAGGGTATATTGCGAAATATAAGTTCAATGATGCTGAGATGTTTGCAAAACTCCAGACCAAAACTTATATTTCGCAACATACCCTGCCATTAAAAAGAGTAGGCAGTAAATAATAACTTGAAATTGTGATTATAACTACAACTTCAGCTTAACTGGGTTCATTGCCGATTTGGACTCCCAGATCAATTCCGCTGAGCGAAACGAAGGACCCGCATGGTGTGGTGGTGAACGCGTTACTCCCAGGAAAGGATAATAGCACGTTCGTTCCCCACCACAGACAACTGCGGTCCGGAGTTTTGCAAATATCTTAGTAAATAAAAAGGTTAGGATTGTGATTATAACTATAGCCTCAGCTTAACTGGGTTCATTGCCGACTTGGGGTCACAGATCAATCCCGCTGACTAGTGATTGCTGATAGCGTTGATCGATAGAATTAGCTGAAAGGCAGGTGAAACGAAGGACTCTCATGGTGTGGCGCTAAACGCGTTAGGCTCCGGAAAGGGTTATAGCGCGTTCGTTGCCCACGGCAGACACCTGCGGTCCGGAGTTTTGGCAAATATCTCAGCATCATTGAGGGTGTATACAGAGTTTGAACTGTTTGAGGTCGTAATTATTGTACACCATTTATCTTTCTTTAGCCAACACTGCTTGGCCACCATTTCTGAAGCAACTAACTCCAACTCCATCGCCACCACGTCTCGCCACTGTCAATCCACTCATACTCGTCTTTGACGGTGCAGGGAACACAGAATGCCAAAAGACACTGAACATTTCGTAAATTCAGCACAAGTTTTACATTTATGATTTTAATTTGAAAAGGGATCTTATTTCCTTTAAGATGGGCATTAATTGTAAAATACGTGTTTTGTGGATAGATAATGCTAGTGTGATGTATGGATAATGGTGTATTTTCACAAATTGTCAGCATTTTTCATGGTCCGTGTTGTAATTGCTCACAAGCCAGGTATTTATTCTTGTGGAATAAATAAAAGTAAAAAGATAAAGCTCTCCGCGTTCATCAGTCCCTAAAGAATGCGCCATGCATTCGACTTCATTAAGCATCATTGGAGGTAACTGAACGCATATCTGGCCTTTACAATAACTCGCACTGGCCTACCGATGTATCGAGCCAGTGCTGCTACCCTCCCAGACAGGTCTGGTACCAATTTGCCGATCTCGGAGGGACGGAAGGCTTAATGGGCCATGGGGGCGGGAATCAATTTCACGTGTGTGTTGCAAGGCGCCTCCGACCATTGCCCCATACGCATCCCTTTTGTAGGGCAGGACATGTTTGAAGATGTCAGTACTACACGAAGGCATTAAGAGTGAATTCTTTTAGAAATATCTCAAATGAACGAATAGCATGGCGGATTCTATGCAATGCTCCAACTCGTTACGTCGTTACTCCAAATAAAGGGTTTCTATTCAGACAGGAGAAAATTGACGTCAGTTTTTCTGGATTGCATACTTTCGAGAATTATTGTTGAGTTCAAGTGAGTCACAAACTACATTGAATGCTAAGATATGAAACGTTCATTCTCAGATGATGATAAAGTTTATAAGTCTTTGATTAGAAGAAGTCATGGGTGTTGATTGCTTGCACACTGGTTAAAGTTCTTCTGTCGTTCCTGGTCGTTGTACCAAGTTGAAGGTCGTCTGCTTATTTTGGCAAGCGACAGTCTCTGAACGACGATGAAGAACTGAGTTACCCCAGCAACCACCAACATCATGGCTCCGAAGGCCGAAAACAGGATAAGCTGACTACTTAGATCCCATAACATAGCCCAATACGCATTCCCGGATCGGCTAGCTTGATCGCATTTTGTTCTGACAGATCTTATTTCTCTCACTGTTTGTTGTTTTAGGTTAAAGTGTTGCTCTTGAACAGCTTGAAATATCATCGTCGCCATGCATTTGTTGTACAAGCGAAAACAGCGAAAATAGATGAAAGTAACCGCAAAGTTAGTTTCACACTGTGATCTGTCAACTGCTTTATTACTCGATTCCCGATCTTTCTTGCTAGAGAACGCGTTCCCATGTAGTGCTTATCAGAAGTTCATTTGACTGATATTTTGCTGATCGGCAAGGTTAAGAACGGATGTGCGTGAGACGATTGAACTGAATTTCGTAAAATCTCCATATTGACCCGAAATTCATCTTCCGACCTTTGACGATTGGTAGGAGCTTTCTTACCTCATTACGAGTACTTTTCCTTTGGAATGTTAATGATTACTACTGAGTAAGAATTATGAGTAAGAGTTATATTGCCTCCGATCACGTATGGAGATTTACATTTCTCTCGCAACCCGTATGACCTCATTTGGAGATCTTTGAGCAGCTCACGGACCAACATAGAAGGCAGCAAAGGGAATTTCGTGAAAAAGACAAAATCTTTGCATAGCATGAAGCAAATGCTATCTTACTTGGAGTAGAATGGCAGAAAACGAATAACAAAGACATCATTCGTAACAGTTTCCGTAACATCTGAGTGAAAATTGAATAAACGAAAAGGTTTATCCAATATTCTAGGAATGATAAAGGAAAACTGAACATATTTTTTTCTATAAATTCACTCTCAATGAGGAAATCCTAGACCATCGGTAGAATTATCAGCGGCTGATCGATTTTCCGACCTCCTAGGGGAATGAAAGGCATAGTGAGCTTGGAGCACGTAGTGAACCCATGTGTATTGTAAGACACCTCTAATCACTGCGCTATACTTGCCCACATTTAAGCATGACTTCCTCTAATTTGCACCATATAATTAGCTTTTGTTTTCAAGCACCTTCAAGTTTCTTCCATTTGCAGTTGACGTGGAAGGACCTTTCACAGGTCGAGATGAAAATGGTGCAAAGTGTCAGAGTGTCAACGCTGTAAGCTGTTTTCACTTTTATTTTACCACCTATTCTTTTATTTCACTACCTATTCTTTAGAATAGGTAGTAAAATAAAATTTAAACATTATGATTTCGACTGCAGCTTCAGCTCATCTGGGTTCACACCGATTTATGCTTCCGAGATCAGTCCCGTTAACGGGTGATTGTTGATAGCATCAGTGGGATAAAAAACTAGTTGAAAGGGAAGGCAATGGAAGGGCTTGAGGAGGTGTGCAAGATAGCACTTGAGCCTCAGGTAATGGTAACCGCGGATTCGAAGCCCATCTGAAGCTCCGAGTTTTACTCAAATCTCAGCATCCTTGTGGTTTCAAGTTTTATTTTTCGCACTGTACATTACTGTATCACGAACTTCATGAACAATTTCAGCTCACCAAATGACGACGTGAAGACTGCAAAAGGTTGGCCTACAATCTACGGCTGGCATGATTTCTTTCAATGTGTGACTTTATGTGTAACGCTACACCGTGCTATGCATGCATATTGATTTCCGCTGTCATTCGATCAATACTGCCATCCCCAGTGCAATTCGACGTGTACCTTAGTTAATGTTCATGACTATGACTGTTAGTTCCAATCCGTCCAATGTCTTCATAATATCACTCATTTAAGAGCATCTGGAAAGGGTTTTATTCTATCCACCAAATGGAAACCTTATCCAGGATTGACTTTGTGTTAACCTCGGCATTGGAATATGAATGCGTCGTTTTCTTGTTCAGCAATCGCGAGGTTTTTAAACAGCATACATTTACTTCCATAGAGAAACACAATACAATACAACACTGGCTGACGTTTCGGCAGTATCGCCTTCTTCAGAGCCGCTTTTTACGTGACTTCCAATGAGGAAGTTTAGAACAGCTGATTATAGTCGCAGATGGTTGATGAGTGCACCATCCCACATCAGAAATTGATGCGAACATACGGGGTCAGGTCGCGTTTGACCTCTGGGCACTATCCAGAATGCCTCAAGAAATTTTCGCGCTGGTGTTTTAGTCTCCTGTGCAAGGATATTGACTTTTGCTTCAAAATCGTCTCCGCTATGCTTTTGTATCCCATGCGTGCCTAGTGGGGTACTTTGTCTTAGTTTTCGTTTGCCATCTAGGCGTTCTTTTATACGGATACACAAAGGTCTGCCCGTTTCGCCAATATATTCGTCTCCGCAATTATTACAAGAGATCAGGTATATCGTACCTGAACTCATGCAATCACCGTCCCTGCCGTAAGGGCAAATTACGCAATTTGTTGTTTCACATAGACGGTCATACAGGCGGTTACGAACTAATTGACGAAGTAGAGTAGCTGGTGGTATTTCAACTATCGCTATCGATTCCTCTAGACCTGCCCTTCTTAAGCATCGTTTTATAGCTGCGCTTACTTCATCGCTTATAAAAGGCAACATAAACGGGATTTTCTGTTGACCAAGTGTTTCGCGTGGGCGCGTCGCTTTCCTTCTAAACTTATCTCGTGGGGCTACTATTTCGTACCCATTGGAGATGGCTATCTGCTGAGCCAAGTCGCGCGACTCTTCCTTTAGTTCCCTGGCAGTGCACACAGAAAACCTTATCGATTGAAATCACCCCATCTTTTCCTAAAGATAACACTATCGATTCGATTGCTTGCACTTTCGTTATTGTTAAACTTTCGGGCGGTCCATGGGTTCTAACGTTACGAAAAAACTCGCGACGTCACCACTATGTAATGGAGGTTTCGGTGCTGACGACATAGTCGAAGAAGTGGCTATAGTTCGAAAGCACGGCGTCACCAAAGTGATTGACGGTCCGACGTATCGATATGGATTAGGTATTATTCTTGGCGATAGTGGTTTTTCTATGTATATTTCCTATTAGAATTTCTTTCTTGTGAAAAACTAACCACATCAACCACCATAACCGAGTTTTCTTCGTGAAAAATTTTGCCAGTTAAATGGAACTTTGTTGGAAGTATGGTTAACCAGCTAAGTGCAGAACCAGAGATTAGAGCTCCCAACTATACAAAATATTAAGCGCGAGGCTAATCTCACAGGAACGGCGTATGTAGAACTAGTGCATATCGATCGGCTAAAAAAGTTCAAATTGAAGTTGCTTGATCAATATTCCTGTCATCAACGACAACTGGCCATGCACGAGTCGTCGTCATTATTAAAGATGAGATGTTTTAAAAAATATGACATTTTGTAACGTTCGAATACAACGCTTCATAGCCGATGTTTCTCAGGAACAACCAGTACATCGAATACTTCTCAGAAATCTGACATATCAACAGCTAGCGGTATGTTGTGTATTTTGTATCATTCGTACTCATATATATATATACATATAAACAAAAAGTAGGTAAGAAATATCGTGTTCGGGTTCAGTATCACGATAATTGCTCTCGCTGGTGAATCCACGCGAACCTTATGTTTCTATAGGGGCCAATTCCTATCTTATCGATACATATATATATATATATATATATATATATATATATATCAACAAAAAGTTCATAAAGGTGGATAAATCTGGGGATAATATAAGAATTGTATTACATATAATATGTTATTAGTTAGTTTGAAACGTTCTCCTAACGGTTTACCGTCTCATCGTAGCAGGGAGGTGTTCCTGGGTGTCGGGCTGCGATGTGCAGCGGGGATTTATCTGCTGGCAGGGTCACCCAAGCTGAGAACGAGTCCGACGCTTCCATTAGGAAGCCCAGCTAGGAGTAGACCAAGACCAGGATCCACTACCGTCCTGGTACTAAACTACTCTCATGGTGGGAAATGTGCCTGTGATCCACAATCGCAACGACTGCCTGTGGTGGTGAGGACCTCGAGCACACTGGCCAGGCTGTCCTCGGGACTCCAGAGAACCACAATGGCAAAACCAGCAAGTCTCCGAAGAATGGATCCAAGTATCGAATTAGTTCGAAACGTATTTAAGTACACCTGGTTTTTTTTTCATGCGATGCAAGCATTGAAATTTCGTCTGAAAAACATCCACTTATAGACTATTAAGTGCAGAAATAGCTTCTCAAGGGTCACAACTGACCTCTGAATTGAATAAGTTGTCGATTGAATACAAAATGTCCTGCAAAACAACTCTTTACAACAAAAGGAAGCGAGAAATTGTACGCATTTAAATCGATGCATGCATTCTGCTCTGCCCACGCACAAATGTGTCTATATTAATGTGTAGATTTAGGTGCTCAATTACTAAAATCGTTAGTCGTAAATAAATCACTTAAAGAAATTAAGAGTGCGCTACTTCCTCCAATTCGACAGCATCTGTGTCGAGTTTGAAGGTGAGCGAAAAGGATCACGGCGAGTTCGCACCGCGGATTGCTGAACTGACGGAACTCGTCAAACAAGCTGCTGGTTCGTCCAAATCACAATGCCTAAGTTTTTATTCAAAAAAAATTGAGAAGGATAAAGCGTTGCTGATCGGCGTTGATCAATCCCTAATGGCTGCGTCATGCATTCGACTTCATTAACCATATTGAATGCACATTTGGCCTTTACAATGACTCGCGGTGGCCTACCGATGTGTTGAGCCAGTGCTGCTATCCTCGCAGACATGTCTGGTACCAATTTGCTCAACCGACAAGGATGGAAGGCTTGGCGAGCCACTGGAGCGGGGATCGATCCCCTGTGTGTGTTGCAGGGCGCCTCCGACCACTGCGCCACACGCGCTCAACGTTCTATTTTTGGACTTTTTATTTACTGCCTATTGTTTTTCTTTCTATCTTTCGTCTAGTCTTCGTACATAAACAAATTTGCTTTAGAACAAAAACAGATAAACACACAACGTATGGTGGTGGCTGTGAACGAGGTGAAAAAGTTGGAAGTGGAACTGGATCGAGCCGGACAAAATCTCAGCCAAATACAGCAAAGATATAGCGAATGTGAAGCGTCTGTGATGGTTGGTAGAACTGCAAGCTGTTCTCACAGTGTAACAACTGATTCGAACGATTCATGGCCATATGAAATATAGGAAAATATATGAATAGACAATCTCTTGAAGTATGAAAGAAAGCACTGGCTGAGAGAAAGGCAAAGCAAGGATTTCGATTGGCGTGGTGGATAGAAAGTGAGCACTCGGCATGGGTATCCACGAATTCGAACCCCGTTTGAGGTCCAGAGTTTTGTCCATCTCTCGGCATCCTTGTGGTTGTATTTCAGATCACAACCTTATATGGAAAAAGATTACGTAGTAAATAAAAATTGATGAATCATCTCTCACTTTATGGCAGACGGCGTCTGATAATTTCTTAGTTCTTCATTTACTTGTTGAAATAAACAAAACTGAATAAAAAACATGAATGCTCGACAAATAAGATTCTGATAATAGGAGTTGCGTGTACGATTGAAGAAAGTTCGTGAACAGTTGCTAATCGTCAGAGAAGCGGAGCGTCGTCGTAGTCCATGAGCTCGTCAGTGAAGCATGATAAATTCGAAACTAATGACGTACTTCTTAGCATGAATGTGCTCTCGTTTCTTAATAATGTCAGAATAAACATAATTCTGAAGACCTTAAAAGACTGTACCAGATGGCTCTTTCTTCCTTTTTCTTCTCTTATTCGTTTTTACTTCTTGACTAGTTCACTTCACATTTTCAATTTCCCCGTGCGAAAAGCCGAAGTTTACTGTAAATTATCTATTACTGGACACATTGGTAAAGTTCCCAGAATCGCGAATCAAATACAAATAGGTTCTTCCGGTATGTTCTATTGCCTGTCAAGGTGTTGAACTACCGGTGTAGGTTCACTGTTCAATATGGCCACCAAAAATGAGAGGGAGATCAACAATCACTACCCACCCTATCGATGAGGGACCACGACGGTCTGGGAGGTCGACTTGAGTACCATGCCTTGTCACAGGTTTCTTGGAATTCTTTGGGCAGTATCTTATTACCTAACCAGTGTCAGTGGCAAGTAGAGATCCTACAGAGTCCGTGAAGAACAGAAGCAAGTATTTTCATACTTCTTCACTTACTTTTATAGGACTATCTTCTCTTAGGAGGTACACCGGTAGTGTTTGTATCCTTCTCTGAACAGAACGTATTACGGCTCCCAACATCTCAACAAACACTTTTTAAATCTCTGAATCAGCTCCAAATCTCTTCCACATATTCAATCCTACCAGTAGATCAACTCTAGTGATTATTGTATCTTCAGGGCGATTTGTGACCATAAACGATAAGGAGGAAAGCATTAGGTGTTGATCAAACCATGAGAGGTGCAGCATGTATTGGACTTCACCAAGAATCGTTAGGGATGATTGAGTGCATATCTAAGCTGAGCAATGGTGTCGATTTATCGGGTCAGTGCTATTATCCCAGACAACTCTACTACCAATTTACCGACACCCTCCAGATGTAAGGTGGCCGTGGTGAGAATCAAACCAACAACGATACAACTATCCGTGGACTGCAGGGCACCTCTAACCACTGGGCTACACGTGCCCGCTTTTTTAAGCACACAAATCGAGCATATGAAAAATTTCACAACAGCCCTTTGTCTTGTAAGGATATTTTTCCTCAAAAACTTTCTATCGGAGCGTTACGTCGGCCACTAATGCGAATTGTCCATCGAAAATCAATATTTGTTTGATATTTAATATTTACCATAATCGAGGCCAGAAATAAAAAACTGGAAAAAGGAGGACGTTGAAAAGGCGTTTTGTGCAGTTAAAACTGAATCCCAACTAATCACTGATATCGTTTATTGTATTCAACAAGTAATTAGTACCATATGACAAGAATTGTACAAGCGATCGATTTTTGCCTAAGTCAATGCGTAACAACAACCAGGACGACAACGTAGAGGCAACATGAGGCTAACAACAGAAATGATGGATTTCAATGTCCAGAGAAACAATGGCGATTTTAGACAGCACTACACTCATATATCGTTTAGCTAATAATAAAGAATAATACTAGGAAACTTAAAAGAATGAAACCGAAACCATTGGACTAGCCGCCGGCACCCTGACAGACTACATTATCGCCTACCGCCTACAGCAATGTCGCAAATGGTAAAGCGCGTTAACTGTCGCGTCGTAGGGTAATATTAATGAATCGGATCCAGTTTCAGGTGGAATATTTTTCCCACTACTACTAATTCTTGGGCAATAGTAGGGAAGGAAGATGGTGAAGTAGCGAAAAAAATAAGGGGGAAATGATGAGCCTAACTTGCTTTGTAAAATATTTCTGGGTAAACGTTGCATCACCATGCAGACACCCGTGGTTTATGGTGGGACTGTTCCAAAAAATGTGCCTGGGTTATTGTAGATTTACTGCGGTAATTTTATTCCTATGTTTGTTCCAAACATCAAAATCTTCAGTATTTTCAGTCTTTAACTTCATTAATCAAGGCGGTCTATGCAAAAATCTCAGAACTTATGAATAAGCAGTGTTCGTGAAATCTTGTGGGAAGACGTCAAAGTGAGGATTCGATAGTTCGAGAACATGTAGGGAAATTGTCCATCCGATTAGCACACTGTACTTTCAGTGCTTGGCCTCTTCACACTCGTATTCCATTTCAAGTTGCTATTCGCGATAACGACCTCCCTAGAAGGATTACGTATTATTAAATATACACTCTTTAACCATTTAGGACATTTAGATAGCTATTTCTATTTTAATGATAAGCAAAAATGTTGAATGGTAAGCACAAACATTTCATGAAACATAAAGACATTTTGTTCTTAAGTGGTGCTGGGTGCGTATCAAATCAACGCATATATGCATCAAATGAAGACAATCAACTGGAACGTTCTTTCACAAACAAATGGTTCATTCTATCGTGCTAGTAAATATTAACGTCTTCGACTCGACCATATTATTATGTTTGGTCGTCAATAGGTTAGGGGTCTACTGTCAAGTGTTTTTTTTACATTACCTAATATTACATATATTGTCTGGATCCCAGCAGTTCTCACATTCGATTCATTTCCCAGGACCGATCATCCACCGAGGACGCTGAGTTTGTGTACATGGGTTCGGCAACACTTGAGGATTTTCGTTTTCTTCATGAAGATCCTTGAATCCTGGTAAACTTGATTTTTCGTGGAGTCTCGAGGTTGACGTGAAAAAGCGTCTTGACTTGGAATGAAGGAAATGAACGTATACCAGAGAAGTCTGTCTCTAATTTTCCGACTCTGGAGGAATGGAAAGCATCGTCAGTCTAAAGGGCGCAGTCAAACCAATGAATATGTGTGGTGTTGTAAGGACCTTTAACTACTGAGCTGCATGCATCCCTGTTTCATGAAATTACGCTTAACAATGTCAAAGAATTTGCTCAGGATTTGGTTTACGTCGTTGCATAGAATTGCTCCGAAAATATGACGCGAACGGATTGGACAATTCACCGCATTGCAAATGTATAGCGAACAAATACCTACTCTTCAAGAGTTCGTTGTCCGAATCGACGCGGCACTCCTCTTACGGGAACTTCACGCTCTCCTTCGGCTACTCTCATGAAGTTGTCCACCTAAACAATCCATCCATATATAGAACCTACTGAGATGCACTACTACTGCCTCAAGAAAAAAAGTCGATTAACTGCAGCCGGAAGTAACAGTGTGCGACAACTCGTCCAATGAGGTTGTTCGTACTGATAAATGGCGATAGCAAACTATTCGAAATCAAACCATGGCGTAACGAACCCCTTTTCTTGCGTTCCCAATGGAAACGCTATTTGTGCAGAAATTTCAATAGATAAGAGTCATGGTGCAACACGACTATAATCGCCACTGTGGTAGAGCGGGCGTCGGTACCGTCTATATTTTGAAATGTAGCGGCTAGCACAAGCGATCAATAAGGTGTGGCATTTAAGAAAGAGAAAGCGCCTATCTATACTAAGTCTATTAGTGCAAATTCTTCCTTTCAAGGTCCTAGGACAAAGGATGTAGAAAGCAATGAGTAAGATTGTCTTTCAAGCTGGAGCTATTTTACAAGTGAAAGAGAGAAGGCAGCCGCTATAAGTCAACATTTAAGCTGCGAAGATAGAAAATTACCCTAACAAAGCGTGAAAATGACACAGATGAGAGAATTTATAAGCTTGAAATACTTTGCCAAACATGACAAACAATGCTAAAAATTTTAGTAACGTAGTACTATAACTAAATGAATGTATTGATCAATTCTGGACACTAATCAATACCCACGTTTTCTTTTCCGATGGTCTACGTTCTGAAACCTGCGTTCCTCACATCAACAACGAACTGACGCGTGTTTCATATAACTGTCTCCGATCTACTTTATGTGTGAAGTATACCACCACTTTATGGACAAGACACGTAAACGTTTTTCAATAGAAACGAAACAATTACGCAGACACTGCAACAGCACTTACAATGATGGTTATGGGAAGTGCAAGCACAAGAACTCCACATGCGATAGCACCAGTGGCAACGAGTTTACCGGCTAAATAGAAAGATTACTTGTTGTTGAACTATCACGATTTACTATGTTAACTTCTATTTTGGTTTTGTTATTTTGTTGTATCACAAGTTCACATTGTGATTTCGACTTCAGCCTCAGCTTAACTGGGTTCATCGCCGATTTGGGCTCCCCCCAGATCAATCCCGATGACGGGTGATTGCTGATGGCACTGATTGATAGAACTAGCTGAGAGACAGGCGAAACGAAGGAACCGCATGGTGTGGTGTTGAACGCGTTAGCCCTCGGAAAGGGTATTAGAGCGTTCGTTCCCCACCGCAGACATCTGCGCTCCGGAGTTTTGCAAATATTTCAGCATCACTGTGGTTTTAACACGGTTTAGTTACACTAATGAGACTTCTCTTTCGTATGTGATTGGTTGCCGCGTGAGAAGAGAAGTTGTGATTCACATAAGGCGAGCAAGCCCACAAAAATGAGGCAGTGTCTGGCCACTATCTCGTCAATAGGCCGTTATCATGAACAACGAAACTTACAGTAACATTACAGTAACCAAATATGCTTGATTGTCGATTTTTCCGCGTGGGTGATGCTTATTGAAATGATAAAAAAGAAAAATCTCAGTCAAGAATGAGCTCCACCCACCGATTGTAGTCGGGGTCAGGTCTCCATAACCTGAAATAAAAGTGTATACAATAACAACGTCTGCCTAACTACTCACTCATTGACTCGCAAAAGTAAATCTGCACATGAATACAGATGACTTTTTGGTACAGTTGTTATTATTTGTTACCATAAGCGTTGCATTTATTCAGTGAACGACGCGTATATGAAAAAACAGTGAAGTAGGACGAAAAACAGACTAGCACAACCAAGTGTTGGCCAAGCTTAAATGGCCATTCGATTTCGATCTAATTTAATCCCGTCTTAACGCATAATACGGATTTGGGGAAATGGACAATGCGCGTTGGTTTCAGTGCCATGCATAACAGGTGAAAAATTACCTTTCATGGCACAGGAATAGAAAATTAGGTGTTATTACGAATGCGTTAGGCACAGGAATTTTCAATCTTACGTTTTCAGTGCAACCCTTATAGCGTTGATTTGCTTTGATAAATGGCCTGTCGTTTTAATTCAAAACAGAATAGTTACGATGCAAAACATTTGGATTAAAAATATCCTTGATGAAACGACGTCTTTTCCATGAAGTTTCTGTTTTACGCAGTTCATAAGGTATTTGCAAATTGACAACTATTTGACGTTGCAAGATAAAGGTAACACAACAACGAACACGACAGCCAACTCACCAACAGTGGTCATTGTTACGATACACATAAAAAATCAATATCAATCAATAAAAAATCAGAAATGATGGAAATATGAGTACTAAAATAGTGCTATTATAGAACTACAATGTAAAAAAAACAAAAAGGCATTGAAATCAATTGACAAATTAGTTGTCAACTACCTACCACCAACATGCAGCCGGAATGGAATAGAACTGTGAACCTGGTTCGTCTTTTTCGAGAAAATACACCAATGTTGAGAAGAAAATCACACCCGTAAACACAACCATCGCCATCATTCCCAGTTGACGAAAAGACGACTGAAATGAGGGTGGTTGTTTCGTTAGACAGAGTAGATGGAGTGATCGGATTCGGGCGTGAGTTCCACTGTGGGTAAATCAAATGTTTGGGAGGTGTCGTTTCTGAATGGCATGGAGATAATCCTGTTACATTGTTCCTCTGAGTTATACATTTTTTACTGCGACAAGTCGTGGAGCTTCTTTTGATAATAAGGAGGTTTACGGCCTTGCGACTAGAGATTTATCCAATACCACAGCGATTAATGCAACAAAGGGACCGCCGATTGAAGGCGATGCGGACCAAATTCATAATGACAATTAAAGCACAAGAAACCTACTTAGCTACTTGTATCGGTCACGCTCACAGGCAGTCCGGGCCTCAAGACAGTTTCCAATCGTTTCTCTATCGTGCAATAGTTCTCCGTGGTAGTGGTTTGGGTCGTGAATGGTGGCGTCCGCGACCCATGTTCGGTGATTCTGGAAACGTCGCTTCTGCTAATGAACACCGTTGGCTTTAGCAGCGAACACGTCCGCCCGTCATTTAGGGATCGAGGGAAAGCTGTGTTTTTGCACTGCATTTCCGATAACAGTCAGCTAGTGTTTGTACATAAGATTAGTCCACTCCTTGGTCGATGAGCTCTGATGGAACTGTATTGGTTTCGACGATGTCAAACGCTTCCTTTTAGTCAGTAAAGGTTAAGACAAGATACAAGTGGTACTACCGACAGAGTTCTATAACCTATAAAACGATTTGCATGTGGTATATGCAATTGGAACTGCTTGCTCAGCTGGTTTTGCAGCATCAAAGATTTTGACATACACAACAGGATAATTTTCGCGAACAACTTATACAGCATACTCACCAAGCATATTGGGCGATATAATGAGTAATGCGGCCGTGCGCAAGATCCTTCGCTGGTTTGGGATTTTCACTTTCTGGGTGTAAGATTCCATGAGTGTTGCCAGAAGTGCATACAGTCCGTGTTCTCCATTGACAAAGTATTATTTAATACCGCATTATTCTTATGAGTGAAAGGGGCTGGCATCACTCACCAAAAACACAGAATAGATGGCTACAGTATGATGAGCAAACCTACTTGCTCCATCTACACTAGTTAATAACCTGAATCGATTCGCAAAAGTCTGCAAATATATTAGACAATAAAGGGTAATAACACATATAGGTTTAGTTGAATTCAGCTTGTTACATCATCTTCAAACAATCGGATCACTAATCAGACAAAGCCCTGGCAAAATCCGAGTCATAAGGCCGCAAACACCTTCCGATCCCCAAGGGTAGGAAGCTACCTGTAGTGACTATCTGACCATAATTATCTTGGGTTTCCAGGGAAAACCATGCTCGAGTAGTATTCATCGTGCATATGAGGATAGAAGGCGAGAAATCCCCAAGTTACAGGAAAATCCAAACTCGTACTCGACCACTTCCACTCGTGAATATTTGAAGACAGTGAAGGAATCGAAGAATTTCCGGTACCCGCATTACACTTGGGGACGGGTTGTCTAAGTATCTGGGTGTCTGCCCAATATTTTACTAAGAATTATATTATTAGCTGGATAGAAGCAAAAAAATGTTAAGACACTACTTGCGATGATATCGCGTCCGATAGCCAAAAAACTTTTTAAGTAACCTGGAGCGTTTTTCCAAACATCTGCAATCCGCTACTATATCGTCCGAGCTTCAATACCCGAATCACTCGCAGAACCCGTAAAATTCGAATGACCAGAAACGCACCCTGAAACGATCATGTCTAAGGAGGTATTTGTAAAAATATTTTTAAATATAATTAAAAATATAATAATATACTGACTGTGTTTACTTTTTATTTTCTGCCTTCTATTATTTTTATGGCAGGGTATTAAGCGAAATACAACCACAGGATTGCTGAGATATTTGCAAAATTCCGGAGCGCAGGTGTCAGTGGTGGGAAACGAACGCGCTATTGTCCTTTCCGGAAAGCAACGCGTTCACCACCACACTATTAACTACAGCCTCAGCTTAACTGGGTTCAATGCTGGTGTGGGCTCCCCAGATCAATCTCGTTGGCTGGTGATTGCTGATGGCACAGATCGATAGAACTAGTTGAGAGACAGGCAGAACGAAAGACCCGCATAGTGTTGTGGTGAACGCGTCACTCACCGGAAAGGACAATAGCGCGTTCATTCCCCACCGCAGACACTTGCGGTCCGGAGTTTTGCAAATATCTCAGCCATCTTGTAGTTGCACTGACTGTTTTCAATTTCAAAACAAACTGTTTAGAAATCACCTTTTTAAAGTTGCATTCTCGTGCTGTTTTGGTGCGCTATCGCTCTTAAGGACCTTTACAGACAACATTCTACAAAAATAGCGGGTTTTGTCTATAAGTTACAATCATTTTCGTTTAAGTATAGTGTACAAACCACTCAACCACTATCTGGTTAAAGTATTGTTTCTCTTCCAGATGAACTTTCGGTACAAGTTATTGCATCGCCTACAGACGAACTTTCTGTGCAAGCAGCGCACGAGGAATCTACTAACTTAGAAGCTTTATAGAATTTCTGTATGAGTATTAACTCTAGTTTTAACGTTTTGTTTTCTGCCTTCTATAATTTTCATGGCAGGTTACTAAGCGAAATACAACCACAATGTTGCTGAGATATTTGCAAAACTCCGGACCGCAGGTGTCTATGGTGGGGAACGAACGCGCTATTATCCTTTCCGGGGAGTAACGCGTTCACCACCACACCATGCGGGTCCTTTGTTTCGCACGTCTCTCAGCTATAACATTGTGATTTCAACTACAGCCATAGCTTAACTGGGTTCTATGCCGATTTGCGCTCCCCAGATCAACCCCGCTGACGGGTGATTGCTGTGGCAAAAAGATCAATAGAAATAGCTGAGAGACGTGCGAAACAAAGGACCCGCATGGTGTGGTGGTGAACGCGTTACTCCCCGGAAAGGATAATAGCGCGTTCGTTCCCCACCATAGACACCTGCGGTCCAGAGTTTTGCAAATATCTCAGCAACATTGTGGTTGTATTAACTCTAGTTTTCGCTCCCAACTCCCCTCCAACCACAGGAGGTATATAAACACCACCATCATTAGTCATCTCTCAGTCGGCTCAACTAGCACTTTTACAGTCTCAGTCTTCTCATTTTCTCATTCAACGTAGTAGAATTAGAGTGCTTAGCTCTCCATTAATATACGCATCTTTAACCTTAGTTGTACGTTATGCTATTTCCGCTGTTATTATCGATGAGTCAGTTATTCCTTATTTGTTGCTACAACTGTTTTTCATATTTCACTTCCATGCCTTCCAGTGGTACACCGCCTCATCATAGTTTGGAAGTATTCCTGGGTGTTGGGCTGCGATACACAGCGGGGGGATCTATACTCCCGGCAGAGCATCCCAAGGTGAAAGAGAGCTCGCCGTTTCCTCCAGGAAGCCCTGCTAAGAGTAGACCAATACCAGGATCCACCACTACGCTGATATCAAACTAGTCGCATGGCGGCAAATCTCTCTCTGATCCACAAGGGCTGCGACTGACTGTGGTGGTGACGACCTAGGGCAGACTTTGGCCAGTCTCCATCTGGAGAATTCGGGACTCCAACAAAACACAATGGGTAAGCCAGCAGAACTTCGAAAAATCGAGATTATACTGGGGTCCGCACAACCAGTGAGCACGGGCCGTCCAAGTATCTAAGTAAGTAAGTATTACACTTTCATGAGCTACCTCACTACCAACCATTTACTCTTATCTCCTTCCACGTCACCACTTGCACGTTGGTGTTCTTAGCTGAGTTGTGTTCAGTATGAAAGTTCTTATAATGCATCACCATTCTATTTCAGAAGTTGCTCTATTATTTTCAATGTAATTTAATGCTTATTAGTCACGTATACTATAATCTTTCCGTCCTCGAGATCAAACGAAGAGACCATTATCGTCTTCGCGGATTGTTTTTTGTCAATAATCCACTTTCTTGCGCTTGAAATCTTCGGTCAAAGCTAAATTTGAAACGTCTCTGAATCACAGTGGTAGGGATACGTGTAGCCGGAAAATTGTTCTGTCGGATTTTGAAAGGGTGATCATCATCTACACAACAGTGCTGCTACGCCGCTTAGCCACGGGCTTTCTATAAAGCTTGTGACATTTCAACCCTATTGTAACAAATTTCATATGCAGTTATCTATCTGACCTTGAGATCCCTTAACTGATTCGTGTTGAAACCAAGTAGGAACAACATCATTTCGAAGATAAACGGTAGAATTGTCATCAAATCGATGATGTTTAGCAATTGGAACACCGTTTTCCGTCGATTGGATGTCACCAACATTTTCATGCCTGTAAATGAAGTGAGTGTGTGGCATTACTAGAGTAATTGCTGATAACAGTGATGAGCAAGTGCTCTGGAATGGCCACTGAAAAAAATCACAGAATGATATTTTCTAAAAATGGCGTACCGTATTCTAGTATGAACCATGCAATGCACACATATTCAATGTAACCTAAAGCCGGATGCGGTTCCATGTCGATTAGAAGTCCTAAACATAAACAAATTAACCTTCTTTATATAAAAAACTTTCAAAGAACCGTTACGAATGGTTAGACGGGAAGCAAGCCGAAACAGATTATTGGAAGTGTTCTTCTATGATATCTATCACTCGTACTTCTCCCATTAAAGACATTTGTTTAATTCTAAAAATGATTCAAGTATCTGCATGAATTAGGACACGTTTGTACTTCGTTAATCCCACGTCTCTGCGTCAACATTTCATCGCTTCACTTTGACGATATTTTGTCCCTTGTTGTCCGGCTTTGCTTTACAAAGTAGATCCATCACCCGACGTGATTATAAATGTAAAGGAGGTTGGCATATCCATCGGTACACACAACTGGCAAAAAATTAACGCCAGGAATAACTACAGCTTAAGGAAGAAAACAGTCATATGGTAGCGAGCCCCTCTCTATTGAGACTAGCAACCGAAGGTGATAACGACTTGGTACGCAACAAGTTTCTCTTCACTCCGTGCAATTAAAAGCGCTCAACTTCCAATCAGCCCGGTGTGAAGCACCAAGTAAGTGAAAATCACGGTATTGATTTATGAAGTAATTGAAGAACTAAAAACCCAACTAAGATATGTTTTGAAGGTTTCCGTACCTTCCGTCGTGTTTTTCTGTATAGGAATCTGTAGATCTGGCAATGAGCCAAGCACGAGTCCGGAAATTGATATCAACACGAACAGCACAGAAAATGTGGCGAACACCTGTGCACAACCAGAACTGAAAACAGTGTGATACGGTAGGGAAAGCCTACACGATTGCAATACATCAAAATCGAGAAAACTGGAAATGGGTGAAGAAATCATCGAAGTGAAAGGAGGTGGAAGGTGCTTCAAAAATTAATGAAAGGTGATAAAGTTGACAAATTAAATAGTTCGTAAAGAAACACTAAATTAAGAAAAATTACCCAAAAATTTTAGACAGCCGATACATCGGACTGCCTTTCGAGCATCTATTATTTCTCCCAATATTACATGTATATATTTTTTATTACTTCCTTGATACCTAATACTTGAATGCCCCGTCCTCACTGCTTATACGGGCCACGGCATAACCACTATTTCTCGGAGATTTGCTGATTAAGCCATCGTGGTTCGTTGGAATCCCGAGGTCAGCCTGGCCAAAGTTTGCCCAGGTTTTCATCACCACAGGCAGCCTTGGTGGATCAGAGGGAGATTCGTCACCATGCGCCTAGCTTGAAATTAGGACGGTGGGGGATGCTGGTATTGGTTCACCTTTAGGTGGACTTCCTGGTGGAAACGCTGGACTCCTCACTTTGGGAGACCTTGCCACGGGATGAATCCCCCTCTGTACATCACAACCCGACACTTGGGAACACCTCCCAGCCACGATGAGGCGGTAAACCGTTGGGAGAATATTTCTTATTTAATTTTATTTAATTTGATCCGTGCTCACATTTGCTGTGCGTATTCCAGCACTTCTTTTCTTGCATTCTATTAGCTTCCAGGTGTTCGTTATCCAATCATCAAGCTTACTGCATGTAGGTTCCGATGCTGTTTGAGAAATTTCGGCTTCTTTATGAATGCCACTGAATACTGGTCGACTTGCTTCTTCCTAGTGTTCTTGATATAGCCGGATTGGAGCATTTTTCAGTTAAAGTGAAGGAAATCAGTTAATCGCAGACAATTCTGGTGCCAATTTCCCGACCCTGGAGGAATGAGAGGCCTTGTGAACTCGAAGCGGAGTCGAACTACTACCGCGCTCGTGATAAACGATATCACTAGCACTGCGTTATCCACACCTCATATATATATATATATATATATATATATATATATATTACTATTTAAATATGGGGCATGGGTGGCACAGTGGTTAAAAGTGGTGTTGAGTACACTGCCCCTGCCGGGCCGATCAAGTCCCACTCTTTTGAGGTAGGGAAACTGTTATTCTGCGGCAAGCCACCTACAATTCACTATAGAAGACTGCTTGTGGTTGGAACCTTCAAAGTTTCTAGTAGAAGTACTCCAGGATTCCATGAGAGTTACTCGACTCGATTCAACGACATTAGTGAGTGGGGAAATGCTCTCAAGTGGCATCCAAACCCAGACGGTAAAATCGGGACACCTTAACGGACGACGTGTAAAGGACAACAAGCCGGATGAAAGAAGTGCTGGGATTGTCACGATAGATGAAATTACCTTACATAACTACTATAAACAATGAAACAAAGCCATAATGCTACAACGATTATTGCTCTGGCAATCAATATGACTATCATAATCAGTTAATAGTACTCGTCCCAACACTTTACAGCCTCATCGGTGGCTGAGACGCGTTTCCTGGTGTCAGAGTGCAATATACAGCGGAGTGATTCATCCCACCAGCAGGGTCTCCCAACGTGAGAAGTCCGGCGTTTCAATCAGGAAGCTTAGCAAAGAGTAAATCAATACCGGGATTTGCCACCGTCCTGGTATCAAACTGGTCGCATGGTGGCAAATGTCCTTCTGGTCCACAAAGGCCGGCGACTATCTGTGGTTGTGACTACCTGGAGCAGACTTTTGATAGTCTGACCTCGGGAATCCAGGGAAACACCATGGCTTAACCAACAAAACTCCGAAAAGCGTAGAATGTGCTGGGGTCCGCACAACCAGTGAAGGCGAGCCATCCAAGTATCTTAGCAAGTAAGCACTACCAGTGCTAATATGCTACTCACCTACTTGGCTGCTCAATCATACACCAAATTCTTTTCCGTAATGCGCCGAATCGCACGTGCTTGAAGAGGTTCAGTGATTCCTCAGACGTAAACGACGACAATGAATCGAGGTCATTCTAAAGCCTATGTGTTCTTACAGTTTTCTTTTGTTTTTACACTTCTCTACCTAATGTTTGAAATCATAACAACACATCTCCTTTTTTATTCTTCTGTTTTCATGTCGCTTAAAAACACTAATAAATAATGGAGTTTCGTTGTTCTACGGATTTCCCTTAATAAGTATTCGAGTGGTAAGATTAAGCAATTAGTTTTCTGACTGAATAGAACACAAATGGAAACAAATCAAAGACGATAAACATTTTTCAAAGTGAAGCCAGAAATATCATGAGTACTTAAGAAACAGCGAAAAGAAATGCTAGGATAATTCAAATTCCTCGAAAATTATTTTTTGAAGATGTAATTCTACTTCCTATTAAATTTTAAAGGCTCGCTGTTATCCACCATGTCCGGCTGCACATGTATCTTTTAGGCTTAGAAATGTTAAACGGCTGCTAACATGATTTTTAAGAGGAGTGCGGCCTGAGCTTGAGAAGGGTTTCTACTCCGCTTCTGAGGTATAGGAGCCCAACTCCATTCCACTTCAAATGCAGATCAATTCTCTTCTATTTCTCCTAAAATAAGCGCACTAATTCTTTCCTGGATTTCGATCTATGAAGTTGTGAGCACATCTACTGGGAATCTCACTTAAGCTGAAATCAACTTCGTAATCTTGTCCGTAAATCAACAATGAATAGACTGGTGTTTGAAATCACAACCACCCTGACGAACTTATCTTTTCTTCCGAACAACAGCATGGCGCTAGGCAGTCGTCGGGGACGATCCCCCAGTAGTCCAACTCGTCCAATATGTCGTTTGGACAAAGATGTGATGGTTGATGAATTTGTCCTGTAAAAATGAGGTCCAGGTTGTTTTCGTTAAGCTCATTTTAAAGTGCTTTTTTCTCATTTTCATCCCCTACTTTTCTTCAGTTTGATGGTCTTTATAGCACTTCTTCAAAGATTTTGTCTCATCATTATTCGCACTAAGAGAACTTATAAAACTTAAACCAAACCTCTGTAGGAAAGCTGCATGAGGAAAAATGTTTCCAGCTGGAATATTGGATTACTGGCTGACTTAAGTTGATACTAATATATTTTTCCTTTTGATCCCTGGCGATTAGCACAGCTGCCGAGTAGGTTCCTTTCGCTTGAGAATCACCCAAAGTGTGAAATGGAGAGAGTTTGTTTACTCATGCGACAGCCATTCTAATGAGGTTACAGGGATTGTAGGTGATCTCTTATAGCACTTTTCAATATGGAGATCTTACATTTCTTCACTAATAACGCATAATAAGAAAGGAATGGATTATGTAGCGCCTTATTGTGAAAAGCTTATGATTGTCCTACCAGTCATATAAAACTGATAAATGATATGAAACAAGGCTGGCGGTCGCTCAAAATAGTACTCGTTTGTGGAGGAGAAGTACGCATCGGCTAATGAGAGTCGTTCGGATATCGTTGTCAAGTCCAGCAACCATACCAGACGTCCTAAACCGTAATATTAGCATAAGTAGTAAAATCCGAGCACAGCAGAGAATAAGCAATGGTGATCTGTGGTGAAAAATTTCACAAGAATCGTGTAGGTTACCGTCGGCAGTGCAGATGAAGAAAAAAAACTATTGAGAGCCAGCAAGTTTACAAGTAGAACAACTACTCGTCAAATTTTCGGCCGCGCTATTTATTCTATAATTCATCTTATTACTCTGTAGATTCAGCTAAATCTAACTGTGACCTTCCTTTTATGGTTTCTCGAAGGCTGTAAGAGGAGTCCTCTTAACAGGAAAAATCGATGCCCAAAAAGTCAACTTACCGACTTTTCTTGCGAATATCGTCTCCTTCAACAGCAAAAACTGTTGGCCGCCGATGTTCAGTCGCAAGAACTCTGCCGAATTGGCGCTGTCAACCAAAAGACCCTAAATTATCGGAAAACAGACTTCTTTTCTTCTATAATGCTGAGATATTTGCAAAACTCCGGACCGCAGGTGTCTGCGGTGGGGAACGAACGTGCTATTATCCTTTCCCGGGAGCGACGCGTTCACCACCACACCATGCGGGACCTTTGTTTCGCCTGTCTCTCAGTTAGTTCTATCGATCACTGCCATCAGCAGTCACCCGTCAACGGGATTGATTGCGTCCTATAGTAAATAAAAAAGTTAGGACTTCTTTCTTATTTCTTTTCTATTTCTATAAGGGCGCGTGTAGCGCAGTGGCTAGGGGCGCCCTGTAATACACATGGGATCGATCTCTGCGCCCCATGCTCACCAAGCCTCTCATTTCTCCGAGCTCGGGAAATTGGTACCAGACTTGTCTGGAAGGATAGCAGCGCTGGCTCGATGCATCACTAGGCCAACGCGAATCATCGCATAGGGCAGATATGCGTTCAATCACCTCTAGCGATGCTTAATGCAGTCTAGTGCATGGCACATCCCACAAGGACTGATGAAGTCCGAAATCTTTATCCTTCATTTATTTGTTTACATTCATTGTTAAATCGCCGTTAAAGAATTTTATTAACGAAATACTCAACAGACACCAAACTATCCATTGAATCAAATAAATCAAACCATAGACTTGTAAAAAAAATTTCATAATCAGAGGAATAATAGAAACAACAAACAACTCCCGTATTTCCTTGCTCCGTTAAAATCTGTAGAGACGACATGGAAGCTAACTATTGTCTTCAGCCGCCAGGGATTTACCAACTTTTTCGTTGCTGCCACTTCATATTATTTTTTCCATACATTTTTTTTGGAAACTAGAGTTAGTGCAGAGGAAAATGACAAAGTAGATGCATGAATCACATAACCAGAGGCTACTGAGAATAATCAACTGACCCTTGAGGTGGTGCCAATATCAACTGGATGCGAACAATTCTGTAACAATGGTGGTACTTCTATTGATGTCGTTGAATCAGTACGACTACACCTAAATACGAATACGTTGAGGATTTACCATAATGGGTAAAATATCGATTAAGCTATAAAGAAAGTGAATGGAGGTATTTTACAGATGGATACCGTACCGTCAGCCACAGCGCATATATTTGCTTACTATCCATTAAAAATTTTGACGTAATGTAAGAGATCTGCGAAAATACGCACAACACATGAGATTTTGTGCTATTCAAAATAATATTGTAATAATAATAACAACAATAATAGTAATTACGTGGAACGTGCGGTGTGATTAAATATCCAGTTCAATAATAGTGGCGACGTCACTGGCTCAACTCCGTAACAGTGTCCCCATCTATCCATGGTTGAAAAGTCTGTGGCGAAGATATAGCATCACTAGGACGGCTATTCCATGATTCTAGGAACAATCTGATTGACTGGCATTCAACGAAATTCATGAGGCGGAGCAAATCTCCAACGGCAACCGCACCTAAGCGCCAAAACGAATGCCTTATAAATTAACTACTCTGACTATAACTGTAGAAAGAGAAACACATTCCTACATAATAGCGACTGCACCTTCCTTTCGAGTTTTGAAAAATCTAGTTACAGCACTCACCAAGATGTATTATTGAATTGAAAGGCCACTCACCGTGACGTTACGTGCGGGACTGGCCCACATGTAGTTCACGTGGAGTCGCGAGCAAGACACACCCCGGGGTCAAAATATCATTTTGAAATAGGGCGCCAGGTCACGCGTGATAGTGAGGCATTCTTCCTTCCTGTTCATCTTTGGATTTTTGAAATTTTTTGAAAAATGAAATGAAACTGCCACGCATTTCATTGAGGTGCACACAAAACGAAATGTTTTCTCTATTAAACAAGTGTGTGTACAAAGAAAACCATTGTGCTCAGCATTTGGAGAGAAATCTTTGGAAGAGAATAGTAGCTGGGTCTAAATCGGTATGCAGAAAGATTCGGTGTGATATTAAGAGCAAGTTAAGGAAAAAGTTTGAAGATCTATCACGCCGCTCAAAAAGGTCAAATGAAAGGACCACCGCTGGTCAAGTCCCAAGTAAAAGCCCTAAAATAGACTGCGCACCAAGAACATCCAGAGTTACTGTGCTAGGAGGCATAACGCTTCCGGAAAATGTGCGTTCCTTGTTAGAATTGGGTCCGAGTTTCGAACCTAGTCAACCCATTTCTAAACCAATCCTGCGCAGGATCACGTGTAGTCTACATGAACTTCAAAATCAGCTACGTTACAGGGTTAGGCTAGAAAGGTTAGGTAAAGTAGTACCAAGAGGAGAACTACCACCAATACCCTTTCTTCGAACATTCTTTAAACAAGAGCTACCAAATAGCGATATTGACCCTACATTTCGGTTATTTTCAGACGAAATTCTCCGCATACTTAATCACTACCAAAAACGAGAAAGAAGCTCCAACCTCACAAACCAACAAAAATATGGTATGCGCCAGGTTAGAGAGCTTTTGAATTCAAAATCTATTAGACTTTCTATTAGTGATAAAGGCGGAGAATTTGTAGTTCTTCCTAGTCAGTTGGATATTAGGATAACAGAGAAGCACCTCAGTGATGTTTCTCTCTATCGAGCATCCTCTGAAAAGGAATACAAAAATCAATACCGAAAATTGAATCAAGAATGGGTCAGCACGGCAAAGGCCGCGGGTTTAGAGCCTTCAGTTATTTCTCGACTTAAGAACGAACACCCGATTTGCCCTGTCCTTTACTTGCTTATTAAAACACATAAGCTTACTTCAACTGATGATATTACATCAACGAACCCATCATCATATAAAGTTTGACCTACCAGTTGTATAGGCGGGTCAACGGATAGAATAACGTGGTTCCTAAACCTTATCCTAATCCAGCTGCTAAAATTCATTCTAATCCATCTACCCAACACCAAAATATTTCGGGATCACCTAAGGCGCGCGCAACCAAACAGCACGCATATAATGGAGTCATTTGATGTTAGTTCACTTTATACCAACGTGTCCAATGACTCCGCCATGCAAGCCATTCTCGAGTTGCTCGTAGAGCATGAAAAGAAAATAAAAATGCACGGCTTGCCGATTGCACAACTAATGACCCTCTTAAAACAGTGTCTTAGCTGTTCAATCTTTAGGTGGTCTGGAAAATATTTTGCACAAATTAGAGGGTTGGCGATGGGGCAGCGTTTAGCACCAAGCCTTGCCATCGCTTTCATGTCTAAGGTGGAAGCTCCAGTTCTCGATCACCGACCCTTACTCTACTGTCGATACATAGACGACTGCTTCATCGTCTGTTCCACACAAGAACAGATGGATGAGTGATTTGAATTATTAAACCGACAGTCAGAGTATATAAAATTTACACGAGAAAAACCTACCGAGAACTGGCTTCCATTCTTAAACATCCAAATAAAGCTCTCAGTAAGTGGCTATTTAACAGAATGGTATCGCAAGCCAAGTAGTAAAAACACTCTAGTCCACTGCCTCTCCTCTCATCTTTCACACATGAAAAAAGCACTTATCAAAAATATGTATCGTACGGCTAAAAATGTGTGTACAGGAGAAGAGGAAAGGAAGGAATCGCGAAAACTGGCACAAAAAATTGCCATTTCCAATGGCTACGAAGTAGAAGCCACTCGGGTTAGAGGAGAACGTTGGGTAGTTTCCCAAAATAATATTTCAGATGAAAGTAGGGTCCTCTTTAAGCCACTCTTCAGATCAAATGAAGTAAGTCACGCCATTAAAAAGTGCTTAAGGAAAAGTGGTCTTGAAAATTATGTAACGATTGTTGACATCCCAACTAATACCCTACGCCGCCAGTTCGAAACCGTCTCTATGATCGTTTGTGCAGCTCAGAAAACTGTATAATGTGTCCTAACGGGAGAGACGGGGATTGCATGAGTTCGGGTATAATATACTTGATCTCATGTAATGCATGCGGCGAGGAATATATCGGGGAAATGGGTAGACCACTTTGTGTCCGCATAAAAGAACATTTAGATGGAAAAGCTAAAATCCGTTTAAACACCCCTCTAGGTACGCATAGGGCACCAAAGCACAACGGCGATGATTTTGAAGTGAATGTGCGGATCCTAGCGCAGGGATCGAAAACATCAACGCGCAAAACTCTTGAGGCGTTTTGGATAAATTTGAAAAATCCAAAGATGTACCGGAAGGACGAATGCCTCACTATCACGCGTGACCTGGCGCCCTATTTCAAAATGATATTTTGACCCCGGGGCGTGTCTTGCTCGCGTGAACTACGTGTGGGCCAGTCCCACACGTAACATCACGGTGAGTGGCCTTTCTGTTCAATATGGCGTCTATTTGAAAGTTTGATCTTCATTAATACTTTAACCTTCTTTTCAACCGAATAATAAAAAGTATTCTAACATAAAGTACGTCCAGGCTCTGAGGAAGGCGAAGTCTCCGAAACGTCAGCCATCGTTCAATAACATCAAAAACAACGACAACGACAACGACAACGAAGATTTGTACCAACCTCGCGTCAGCTTAAGAAGATCAGTTTATAAGGTCACATAAATAAATATATCTCTAAGCTCGACGCGTCAACGATTTCCAATGGCTACGAAACGGGAGCAGCTCGTGACAGGTTTGAAGGAAAAACCAAACTCCGAAACGATATGTATAAAGAAAATAAGGCCCCGTTTATCCTGCCTTCCATTACCAAAGAAATAAGTGCCGCTATAAAACGTCCACTGATTTCGATTCGCGTTCCTCCAATCATTAACTGTAATTTTTTTCTGATTGTCAAGCACTTTGTGCGATTAAAAGCAGAATGAAAGCAACTGCAACTCAAACTTGAAGTTGAGTTCGCTTCATGAAACTCAATAAATTCTCTTTCCTACAGACATCTTAAATATCATCGAAATGTGTGGTAATATGAAAATGAACAATAAAAAAAGATATGAGCGCACTGAAGTATAAAGAACAAATGACATTATTATGTTATGACAAGCATATTTATGTTAAATTATATTTAGTCAAAAGGGCTCGAGTGGCGCAGTGGTCGGAGGCGCCTTGGAACGCATATGGAA